ATAACGATGAGTCGTCAAGCTCGTTGGAAATCGAGTCATAGATATTTATGGTATGGATCAGCTAATAAACGAACCTACAAGAATTACTAATTGTTCTCAAACCTTGATTGATCTATGTTTCACAAATGTACCATCAAAAATAATAAAATTCGGCGTTAACCACATATCTATTAGCGATCATTCACTTGTGTTTATGACTTATAAAACTAATATAGAACGTACCGGGACACGCACAATAAAAACTCGTTGTTTAAAGAATTTCAATAGAGACAATTTTCTTAGAGACTTGGAACAAAAGCGGTGGTGTGATGTTAACACAAATACTGATCCTAATGATATGTGGGACACGTGGAAAAGTTTATTAATGGAGTGCATTGACAAGCACGCACCATCTCGCTCCAAAAGAGCAGGCAAAAAAAAATCGCCGTGGATAACAAGCCAATTGTTACGACATATGCATAAACGAGATTATCTGAAGCGGAAAGCAACATTGGCCGATGATCAAACTTTATGGGAAGAATATAGGGTTGCTCGAAATCGTACCAATAACGAAATTAGAAAAGCAAAGCAAGAGTATTTTATAACGAATTTGGAAACTGCTAAAACAAATCCAAGAAAAACATGGAAATTAATTAACGAACTAAGCTCGCGTAATTGTAATAAGTCAAGTAACATTAACGACGGAGATTAAAGTAGACGGAAAAACAATAAATACACCTGCAAATATAGCTGAAGCTTTTAACAATCACTTCTCAAATATTGGTGAGAATCTAGCCTCAGAGATACCCATTTCTAACGTCAACCCTGAAGACTATTTAGAATCAACTGAGCAGAGATTTTCCATTAGACCTCCTACGGTTGATATGGTTTATATTCTGTTGAGTAAAATTAACGAACGAAAAGCTCCAGGTCTCGACAACATTCCTAATAAGCTGTTAAAAATAGCAGCTGCAATAATCTCACCATCATTAACTGATATATTTGCCAGATCAATTAACACTGGCATATTTCCATCCGAGTGGAAAATGGCTAGAGTAACACCAATATTTAAGAAAGGAAAAAGGAATGATCCGAATAACTATCGACCAATATCAGTTATTTCAGCTGTAGCCAAAATCTTCGAAAAATTAATCTTTGAGCAACTTTATAATTACTTCAGTTCTAACAGCTTGTTAACGCATTGCCAGTCCGGTTTCAGGTCGTTACATAGTACACTTACTGCTCTTCTTGAAGCCACTAGTAACTGGTCAGTTAATATTGACAATGGCCTCTTCAATGGAGTAATATTTATCGACCTTAAAAAAGCATTCGATACTATTGATCATCAGATATTGCTGCGGAAGCTTCGAATTTACGGTATGGATCAATTAAGTCTCGAATGGTTTCAGTCTTATTTGACCGGTCGATCTCAGAAATGTAATGTTAGAGGTTGCTTGTCATCATCTGCATCAGTTACACGTGGTGTACCACAGGGAAGTAACTTAGGACCATTACTCTTCCTTGTGTATATTAACGACCTTCCTAATTGTCTCAGTGCAGCAGTACCGAGAATGTTTGCTGATGATACGAACATTAGTTATGCGGCCAACACTATCGCTGAACTAGAAAATGTTATTAATTCGGAATTAAAAAAATTGAAAAGCTGGTTGGAAGCGAACAAATTAAGCCTTAATATCGCCAAGACAGAATTTATGATAATAGGATCTCGACAACGTATGCATGCGCACACTAACGAAAATATCAATATTGACCTGGATGGTCATGTGATTAAACAAGTTGATGAGGCAAAATCACTAGGTGTAATTATTGATAAAAATCTGTCTTGGTCTAAACACATTGATATGAAGTGTAAAAAGATTTCTTCCGCTATAGGTGCTCTTAAGCGAATAAAACCATTTATATCAACTGAAACAGCAATCCAAATTTACAACGCTATAATTCAACCTCACTTTGATTACTGTAGTCCCATTTGGAACGAATTTGGCGCAACATTATGTGAAAAAATGCAAAAATTGCAGAATAGAGCTGCTAGAGTGATTACGAAATCCAACTACGATGTCAGCTCTAGCATTCTCTTAGAGAAACTGCATTGGGACAATCTTTCCTTACGTAGGAAAAAGCACAAGTCTATACTAATGTTTAAAACTATCAATAAGCTAACGCCAGAGTATTTACAAAACATGTTTACATTTCGCAGCACAGATTATAACTTAAGAAATGCAGAAATGAAGCTAAATTTACCAAAACCACGTACGGACTTTATGAAGCGTAGTTTCTGCTACAGTGGAGCAAGTTTATGGAATGCGCTTCCTCAAACTGCACGTACGTCCAAATCATTGAGGCATTTCAAAAATGAAATTAATCAATTCTTGACATTATAATGGGATCCCCACACGGCAATCTTGGAAAACAGTGCATTTTAGTTAGGAAATTAGTGTGTATATAGTAATGTGTGAAATTTATTAATAGTTTTTGTATTTTATTCTACACTGAAGATTTTACCGTGTTTAAATAAATGTTCAATGTTCAATGTTCAATGTTGACATTTTCATTGATGTTTAAAGTACGATGACTTTGAAAACATCGTAAATACACGTACTCACTGGTACAAATTTTAAAACTGTTTTGTTCTACACAAATTTTTACCCAGTTTTGTGAATGTTATTCTAGTCTATATAGCCAATACGCGTAATTTTTACCGTTTTTTTAATCGCGCGCCTGACGTTAATATGGCGCGCGATATGCCGCGCGCCTGCCCAAATACTTACGGCCAGGCCTGCCCCAAAGGGGCCGAAGTTATGTTCGGCAAAATGTATGGCTAGTTTACATTGTTTGTTGTATTATGAAATATGATACTATACTTGTATTAAAATTCGCGTCGAACTAATGTAAAATCAACGAAACTGTGTAAAATATAGGTTGATCCCTCTGTGAAAAGCCGCCATTCGGAATTGTGCGCGTGCGTACAAGTGTATAGGCTAATAAAGGAAAAATGTACCACAAGCATGGCATGAGTCGGCTATTACGTACATATATACGAGCTTATTACTATACTATCTAAATCATGGAACCGAGGGAATCGATGGCATTTTGGCTTAATGGTTGCACCCTGAGCCTGCGATGAGCTAACGCAAACTCGATTTCTCGACTACGAAAAAAACAGAAAAAGGGAGATTTAAGACACTTGGCCTTACAGGCCAGTGTAACAAGATAAAAACAGAGACGGATTTTCATATTTTCGTTCGGAGGTGGTGGATAAATATCGGGGTGCTGCTGCTTGCTTTGGCCGGGGCGTGGTGGCAACGCCCAGAAAGGCCAAGGAAAAAGTTTAACAAAATTTGTTTTCTAGGCCTGCATGACGAGACCTGAGACCATAATATTGGTAATTTTACAACTTTAGTAGTAAGAATAATCATATATGAAACTATCAAATCAAAATATATGTAATTTTCAGGGGTGCCAAATGCCTTTGGGGGTGGGGTGCAGATCATTTCTGGGGGGGGGGGGGCGCACCCCCCAGATAAAAAAGTTCAAGCCATTTCGACTTTATTTTAAGGTCATTATGATAGAATTACTAGAATCCTTTACAAGACTGGTTAATATTCGGAGTGTTTCATCTTATATTCCGCGAAATGCTTGCTGCTGCTAAAGGATATTCTCGTCCAACTGCTATTACCTTTTTAGAACACAATGACTGTTGGGCTAAAAACACATCAGCCACAAGACGAAGCGAGTTTTATATCAAAGATTTTTATTTGGTGGATTTTCCCGCTTCTATGGAAAGGCGTTCGAAATCCTCTGAATCACGAAGACCTATATCCGATCAGAGAAGTGGACAAATCCGGTCAGCGGACTAACCTGTTAGAAGAAAAATGGTGCGAAGAAATATTATCCGCGCGGAGTCTGGGCAGAGAACCTAAACTTTGGCGGGCAATATTGAAATACTACACTTTACAGGAATATCTCTTTTTTGTGCCCCTTGTTCTAGCTAGTCTCTTGGGCGATAATATAGTTTGTTTTGCAACCATCAATCTGTTGCGTCAGCTCACTAATTTCTATGACAACGAGTCACATGGTGAATATTTCGTCTACATCTACGGCATAGCGATTGGGTGTTTGATGAAGCTGATTGGTCAAAATTATATGTACTTTTACGGAAATGTCCTAGGAGTGCGAGCACGTGCAGCCATTTTGGGTTTGCTGTATAGAAAGGTATGGTCACATAATCTTGTCCTACGCCACAATTGACATTGTTATTGTTATTGTTATGTTAAAGTTACAGTACGTCACACTTACAATGACGTATTCTGATTAGCATTATTAATATGTTAAAGTTACAGGAAGTACGTCACATCAGACAGTGACGTATTTTGATTGACATTCGAACAGTGTTGACAATATAAATATATTAAGGCCCGCTCGGCGCTTGCGAACATCTGTGATTTCGTGTTGTATAATATATCCTTTATATTGTGTTATTCGTCTTGAGTTTTCTCTTATTTACTGGCGTGGTGGCAGCGGTCCATTACTGAGAATTTCAATATAGTTCTCAAAGAGCTCCGATAAAGTGGAATAGCTCAACAAATACAATCAAAGTCGATAAGAAATTACTCTCAGACAACAAGTCGAAGACGAAGCAGCTTGCATCTGTAGCTGTTAATACGACACATATTTACGAACAAGATATGGCTACAAGTCGAGCTCCCAAACAGTGGGCCCTGACAAAGCAGGAAACTATCACTTCATACGAAGCCTGGCGCCAAAATCTTCAATACACTCTTGCCTTAGACCACAACTTCGCCGTATTTTTACTCGAAGACACAACATGGCTGCGAAAGACTTCTACGGCCCCACTACGTGGTCTCGAAAACGACGGCGAAGGCGTTCCAGAAGCCAGCCGACGTACAGCCGCCCAAAAGCTAACTCACTTGGAGTTAATGCTCGGCCAAGTAGCCAATTATTGTCCCGTCATTGCACGAAACACAATCGTTAAGAACTCAACATCTACTGTATGAGGACAATTTGGCAAGCAATTCGTGCACATTATGGCTTTCAGTCCACCGGGGCACATTTTCTCGATTTTAATAACATTCGTTTAGAGCCTGACGAGCGCCCCGAGGACTTATATCAGCGACTTCTGAGTTTTATCGATGACAATTTACTCACAGCTAATGGTAATATCCGACATCACGGCGAAGACGTTTCCACGGACGAAGAATTAACACCCTCGCTTGAAAACGTAATTGTACTGACATGGTTGCGTTTAATTCATGCAGATTTGCCCACTTTAGTTAAGCAACGTTACGGGACAGAACTCCGATCACAGACACTAGCCAGCCTCAAACCCGAAATATCTCAAGCTTTAGACGCCCTCCTCGACGAAATTCATTCTTCAAATGAGGCTAAAGTTCTACGCACAGCCTTTCGACGATCCTCACAACAGCGTGACAATCGTAGTGCGTCTTCCCAGCCCAGTAACAACAAGGGAGGGGCAACCAAGTGCTGTCCCATATGTAAACAAGCTAAAAGATCGCAGTTCCAACACTACTTAAGTAAGTGCCCATTTCTTCCTAACGAAGACCGTCAATATTTAACTCGCACACGACAGGTCATTGTTGATCAACATGAACCGTCTGATAAGTCAGACTCAGAGCCAGAACCAGATGACCACTCCTGTTTCAAGAACAATCGGGTCAAGTCTACCGCCTACCGAGTTAGCACAAAACAATCCCCGCACCTGAAAGTATTCCACAACCACCATGCGGTACAACTCACTCTTGATACTGGCGCCGAAACCAGTATGATTAAGTCATCTATTGCCCAACAAATTGGCGCCACTATCCAAAAAAAAAACAAACAGCTCTACAGGCTGACGGAATTACTCCACTAAGCGTTGTTGGTGAAGTCCATCTGGATTTATCACGTAACTCCCACACCCTCCATCTTGATGCCCTGGTCGTAAACAATTTAGACGTTGACGTTTTGGCGGGAACCCCCTTTATGGTGACCAATGACATTTCCATTAGACCCTCGAAGCAACAAATTACAATCAAGGGTACAGACGTCACCCACTACAATACACATCTCCCCAATCGGAAGGAACACCTTGTTAGACGTACCCAGGCATACGTTCTTCGAGCTCCACCAACTCCTACAGTGATCTGGCCCGGTGAATACCTAGAGATTCCCATTCCTCGTGAAATTGACCCAGATAGCACCCTTGCCGTGGAGCCACGCCCAGATTGCCCTAAATCCGTGAGTGATTGGCCATGCCCACATATTCTCGAAGCTGTCGCAGGACGAGTCCGCATACTGAATGATACATCAATAGTTAAGAACATATCCCGTCATGAACATTTTTGCCAAGTTCGTTTGACCCAGACTCTAGACCCCAAGGAGAACACACTCCCCTTCCCTCAGCATCCTATGCCACATGTCACCCCTAAACCTCTTGCATCCTCACATTCTTCTTGTGTAACCGTGGATCCCGACAACATTCTTCCACCCACCACCCGTCAAAGCTTCCGCAGCCTGTTAGAAGCCCATGATGACGTATTCGACCCCACCATCACCGGGTACAATGGCGCAGTTGGTCCATTCGAAGCTGTGGTTAACATGGGTCCGGTCCAACCCCCTCAACGAAAGGGTCGTGTTCCACAGTATGCCCATAATAAATTAGTAGAATTGCAACAGAAATTCGACGAACTTGAAGCTCAAGGAGTATTTAAACGGCCCGAGGACATTGGAATAACAGTAGAGTATCTAAATCCCTCGTTCCTTGTTACCAAACCAACCGGTGGACATCGTTTGGTCACAGCTTTTGCCGACGTTGGGCGTTATAGCAAGCCTCAGCCATCTTTGCTACCCGATGTCGACACCACACTACGCACTATTGCTCAGTGGAAGTACATCATAGTAACCGATTTAACAAGTGCATTCTACCAAATACCGCTGTCGAAAAGCTCGATGAAATATTGCGGCGTCGCCACACCGTTTCGTGGTATACGAGCCTATACACGCTGCGCGATGGGAATGCCCGGATCAGAAACCGCCCTAGAGGAGCTAATGTGTCGTGTACTGGGAGATTGTCTGCAGGACGGTATCGCAGCCAAACTTGCCGACGATCTCTACTGTGGAGCTGACTCACCCGAAGCCCTTCTCGAGAATTGGCGTCGCATCTTACAAGCTCTTCAGAAATGCAATCTCCATCTTTCCCCTTCAAAGACCATTATCTGCCCCCACTCGACTACCATACTTGGATGGATATGGACAGAAGGACGTCTATCTGCCAGTCCACATCGCATTGCCACGTTGTCATCGTGCCCCCCACCTGACACTGTTCGTGGTCTACGTTCATTTATTGGCGCATATAAAGTCCTGGGCAGAGTGTTACCCAAGTGTTCACACATCATAGCCCCACTGGAGAGCACCATTGCAGGTCAACAGTCAGGCGAGCGCATACTGTGGACAGATACGTTACGCGAACAGTTCCGCTCTGCACAAACTAACCTCACTACACGGAAATCCATCACTCTACCACGACCATCTGATCAACTTTGGATCGTTACTGACGGATCAGTTACCAAACACGGCATCGGGGCCACCCTATACATCACCCGCAACGAGAAGCTTCATCTCGCTGGCTTCTCTAGCGCAAAACTACGAAAACATCAAGTCTCCTGGTTACCCTGCGAAATTGAAGCTCTTATAGTATCGCTGCCGCAGTTAAGCACTTCAGCCCGTTCATTATCCAATCCATCCACCAAGCATGTCTATTAACGGACAGTAAACCGTGTGTTCAGGGTTTTGAAAAATTATGTCGCGGCGAGTTTTCGGCGAACCCTCGAGTTACTTCCTTCTTATCAATCGTCAGTAGGTACCAGGTCAACGTTCGTCATCTAGCGGGTACTGCCAATGTTCCATCAGACTTTGCCAGTCGCAATGCACCAGAATGCAATGAGCCAAGATGCCAGATTTACAACTTCGTCGCCCTCACGGAAGATTCCGTGGTCCGGTCCACATCTGTTCAAGATATCCGCAGGTTATCTGGTCTCCCATTCACTACTTGCTCAGCCTGGATTCAAATCCAGTCAGAATGCCCGGAACTCCGACGTACACATGCCCATCTTAAGCAAGGTACCCGTCCGTCTAAAAAGATTACCAACATCAAAGACGTAAAACGATACCTTAACGTCGCTACCATCGCGAAAGACGGTCTGTTAGTCGTACATCGTCAAACTCCTCTCTCCCCGTCCAACGATCTGATTATCGTTCCTCGCACTGTTCTAGACGGACTTGTGACAGCTTTGCACATAAAACTAGACCACCCTTCGAAGCATCAACTACAACTAGTCATGAAACGCCAGTTCTATGCTCTCGACATGCCTCAAGTAATCGATCACGTCTGTGAAACATGTCGTACATGCGCATCATTACGCAAGCTCCCCGAGACTTTGACGAAACACACCTCGGAAAACCCACCAGACATAGTTGGCGTATCATTTGCAGCTGACGTTCTCAGGCGGTGCAAGCAAGTCATTCTGGTATTGCGTGAGACTACAACATCATACACATCAGCAAGCATTATACCTGATGAAAAGAGCGCGACACTCCGTGACAATTTAGCACGCTTATGCGTTGGATTACGACCACTAAGTGGACCACCCGTTACGGTTAGAGTTGATCCCGCCCCAGGCTTTGTCTCTTTGAAAGACGACGGTATACTCCAACAGCTTGCTTTGCATATCCATAGAGATCGGTCGCATCAAAAACAGCAACAAGAACCCCGTAGCTGAAAAGGCAATTGCGGAATTAGAAGGTGAACTTATTCGGCAAGTTCCTAACGGCGGACCAGTTACAGAACTCGGCCTGGCCATTACTGTTTCACGACTCAAAGCACGCCTGCGCAGAGAAGGTATATCTGCGCACGAACTATGGACACAAAGAAACCAATTTACTCATGAGCAACTTGGTAACGTAATAGTTAAAACGAAGGCGAAGAAGAAGAAAAAAGGCCACGCCACAATTGACATTGTTATTGTTATAGTTATGTTAAAGTTACAGTACGTCACACATACAATGACGTATTCTGATTAGCATTATTAATATGTTAAAGTTACAGGAAGTACGTCACATCAGACAGTGACGTATTTTGATTGACATTCGAACAGTGTTGACAATATAAATATATTAAGGCCCGCTCGGCGCTTGCGAACATCTGTGATTTCGTGTTGTATAATATATCCTTTATATTGTGTTATTCGTCTTGAGTTTTCTCTTATTTATTGGCGCTAGGCCTTCTCACGAATTGTTTGCGGCAAGCAGCCGATGTGAAAATGCTGGATAGCGCAGGCATTTAAACAGCTTGACCGGCAATGCGGTTATTCCGGTTAAGTGCACCGAACAATAAGCGCTACAGAGCTAACTAAGTGCGCTACTGAGTTAACTAAGTGCGCTACTGTAGGTCGAAAGTAGCTAGGGTATTTGTTAGAACGAGTGATTACCAGGGACGCCGGAAAGTCGATAATTGGGGGGGGGGCAGATATTCATATATTCGTGTTCACAGACTGTAAAAACAATCGCTTTCAAAGGAAATAAATGATGCTGAACATGAATATATGAATATCTGCCCCCCCCCCCAATTATCGACATTCCGGCGTACCTGGTGATTACGCACTCCGCACAGAAGATTCCCTCGCCACGAGCAATATTTGAAATTTAAAATCTCACAAGCCTCGGAAGAAAGCTCACGTTTTCTACAGGGGAAGACGTTCTTTCAATTAATTCCAGTTCTGTCTCGAAGTGTTGACTGAAATCCAGTTCTAACGCCGTCGGTGATATCTTGGCCGTTACAGAAGGCATTTTATTGGCTTTGCATTATTTTTGTTTTACGTACATGTCGCGAGTGGTTTCAAATTCTTGCGGTCGCCGAAATGGCACAGATAAACACTATGAGTTATAAGTATATGGAATTCCATAATATTATTGCAAATTTTGGCCGCTTCACTAATTTAAGGCCCGTTTACACGACTTTCATTTTGGGTACGGTACGCTTAAATCTTGGCATGCGGACCCACGCTTTTTAGCCCGCCTATTGCGTTTACACGACAAAATGTTTGTTCTAAAAATTTTGGGTTCGGCACGCCTAAACTGGGAAAGGCCCTCTTACATTCAGAGTCAAAACCTTGACTTAATATGTTGAGCTATATTATAATTTTTTGGCGTAGCAAAATGTGTATTAAACTTTATTTCGACCATTAGATTTACATTTCATTTCTACCAATTTTCTCCGCTTTCTCCCGAATAAAATAAACAGAAACTATATTTTTATTGAGTTAGTTTAATTTTTTGTTTTAAGTGTTTCCATTTCACTGCTAAGACCAGAATTTCGTAAAAAACACAAATAAGTTTGTGTATTTCCGTGCATGTATTTTTTCAACGATAAGTTTATAAACTCCTGAAACCTAGCAAAATACTTGTTGGTGCATGAAAAGTCATTGTTTTAAAGTGTTTTATTTTCTAAGCTAGATATTTCATTGACCTTCATGGGGATAAACAACTCGTGTAATAAAGTCATATTTTTGGATGCCATTTTGAAAGCGTTTAATTTCTGAACTCTTGAACTGATATTTATATATTCTGTTTTATTTCTTTGAAAATTTGTGCTACAAGCCTACAACATTGATTCGCTGCAGGCTCACTGTATGATTATGGTGTTCACCGATAGCATATATCGCCCTCGGCGAATGATTGTTAATTATGAAATAACAATAGTCTTCACCATCACGTATATGCATTGCTTAAAGGGATATGGCAATATAAATAAATTTGTCTTATTTGAAAGAACATTTAAAATGATTATAAACTTCCTTTACAATTATTCCGTATCGATGTACGATGCTAATACATTAGTAAGAAAGCAAATAAACGAATGTTTAGTCTGAGAGAATGCCGTAGAGCGAATCTTCCTCCTGAGGTCGGTATTACATGTTATGAATCCAAGATTAGACCTGTTTTAGAATATGCAGCTCCGATATGGGGTGGTTTACCACAATATCTCATTGATGAAATAGAGAGCATTCAAAACAGATGCATCAAAATCCTCGGCACATCTCGGTGCAACTTTGAAACGCTAGAACAAAGAAGGGCACACCTAACTGTTAAGGAATACCAAAGAATTCTAAGTGATCCGACCAACCCATGTAATAAACTTATCCCCCAACCTTTTACACATGAACACGATCTAAGAACAACTAATAATCTACCATATGTTGTATCGTATACTAAAAGACACCGGCAATCCTTTATACCTAGAGCTATATCCCTTTTAAAACAGTCCTAAATTAATTTTATAGAATATATAACTAGTATAAACATTTTTAGCAACATTGATGTAAATAATAGTAAAATTTCTTCTTATCAATTTTAACCTTAGCACTTCTTGTAAATCCATTGTACTTTTCTAACCAAAGATGGATATTAAATGTTATTATATTACTTATTTTTTTCAAAAGCAGCGTGCATTCCGCCATCTTGGATATGCATTCAATATGCATACGTCACAAGTAGGGCAAAAAGCGAAATTTTTATCTTGCAAACCACATGTCATTATCGATATGAAACTCGAATTTCCGACGCTTTTTTAGTACTCAATAAACTTTTTAGTACTTAAAAACTTTTCGAAGAAATTTAGTCCCACATGAAGAAGTTTTAACAAGTTTTCCCTGCTTGTGACGTCATCAAAAACTCAGTTAATTAGGTCAATTATAATACCAAGATGGCGGACTGCACACTGTTTTTGGTCAAACTATTTCGAAAACCAAGCAAGGTACGGAAAAGTTGCAAAAGGTCTACTTATATAACTTTAAAAGTTCTTTAAAATAAGACTAAGTTAATTTTTATTGCCATATCGACAGTTCCTTTTCTCTTCGTTTTGCTGTGGACGTTGACTTGAGTGTAGCAAGAATACCAGTTGAATATTTTATTAATATTTATGCATGACCATAAATATATCGGAGCTCTTATATATAGCTTCGTCTGACTACATTTTCTCTCGACATTTTGTTTGTATAAATACAATATTTCTGCAATGTCAGAAACAAAACGCGTGCGTAACAAGTTTTGTCGTGTAAACGGGCCTTAAGATGAAAATTTTATTCAAAATGTACAAAATAACACAAATTATTATATGGCTTTTCAAAATTCTCTATTCTGATTGGTTGACAAACGGTCCGTAAAAACCCATATCCGGACCGTGGTCCGTATTTTCCGTATCTGGACCAGTGTCCCGGATGTCGTTTATCTGGCGGGATATTTTTGCTTTGCAAACAGAAAAAATTCTTGCTTTTTAATTTTCCAATTGTGCAGTGTTGTAACGAGTCACCTACAGGTCGAGTCACGAGTCGAGTCGAGTCACTCAAAGGTCGAGTCACGAGTCGAGTCGAGTCGAGTCATTTCAGTTTTTGATCGAGTCGAGTCGAGTCGAGTCAGTGGCTTCACTCGAGTCGAGTCGAGTCGAGTCGAGTCAGCGGCTTCACTCGAGTCAAGTCGAGTCACTGATTTACGTCGAGTCGAGTCAATTTCTAGACTTTACTTGAGCTACTCCAGCTTGCTGTCGGAAATTAGTAATCAAATTTGCGTTTTAAACTGATTACTTTAGTCATTTAAATTAATAACAGTATCTGGGGAGCTATAGGCTGTGCCAATATCACAGTTCCAGTCAACCACGTGAGATGTCTCATCATACCTGCTGATCGAGTGTACGTACATACAAGTCAGAATTAACAAAGAATAGACTTTAATTAACAACGCTTTGCAAGTTGATTTGAAATTATATAGCCCTTCATAAATACCAAAAATGAAAATAGCCTGTCAGAATTAGTATAAGTACAAAATATTTTGAGACTTAATTTTAAAAAACTGTGGCACTAGCGTTGTTTCTAAAAACAGAAATGTAATGTAGGTATGCCCGTCAGGAATATATTCTATGTAAATCCCATATATTTTCTGATAAAGTTTCAAAGTTCTCATTGTTTACAGGGCTCATTGTTCTTCCCAAGCAATACAATCACAATAATTGTGATGAATTTACTCTGTACAAGTTGTAGATGAGTTGACTCGAGTCATTTACGGCAAAATCAGCAAGTCGAGTCCGAGTCGAGTCATTTGGGGCTGTTGACTCGAGTCGAGTCGAGTCATTTTTCGTATTGGACTCGAGTCGAGTCGAGTCGCTGAAAATAGCGACTCGAGTTGACTCGAGTCAGAGTCAATGACTCGACTCGTTACAACACTGCAATTGTGTGTCATTAAAATTTACAGATAAAAATTTCAAACAACCAAATTGTTTGTGATTGAGCATGCATGCCTACCGTACATTGTTATCCAGTGAAACTGACGATAGCCGATTTAATTCGCGCGAAAAGCATATGCGCACAGACTCACTTCAGCCATATAATAAACCGATTATTACCTCGCTTGTTCGGTCTGTTATGTGAAATATCAGACCTCTGTTTTTTGCATGGACCTCGCTCCTTCGTCGCTCGGTCCATACTGAAAACCTCGTTCTGCTATTTCACAGTACAGACCTCACACTCGGTCAATAAGCCGTTATTACTCGGCTACTAAATGGTAGTTGAACGCTTGGGCTGCTGTGACTTCCTCGTTTGAAATATCTATTCTGTTAACAATGCAGGCAGCCATTATTCAGGGAAAACATACTATCGTTGAAACTTGTTGCTGAAATGCTTTATATATCAAAAACAATAATGTAACCGTCTGATATACTAAATGTTTCTTTTAGGTTCTGCGCCTCAGTAAAATATCCCTGGACAGCGGCTATGTGATGGAATTGGTGTGCAACGATTCCCAAAGAGTTTTAACGAGTGCCAAATATTTTTTTCCTTACGCTATACGACATGTTTTGTTTTGCGCATGTGTAATATCATGGCTGTTATTCTTTATTGGTTGGCAAATTATTCCCGGCGCCATGTTTCTATTGGCTGTCGGTGTATCACGTGTGATACTTAATGAATTCGACTATAAATTACGTAAAAGTGCTTCGCAGTTGTCAGACGAACGCCTTGGGGTCATCCGAGAGACGTTGACCTTAATAAATTCTGTGAAATTAAACTGTTGGGAGACAATATATGAAGGGAAAATTCGGAACACTCGGCGGTAAGTGAATACGTTTCCGTGTTCATAGATGTTGGTGGCGCTGTAGTCCCCGAGCCAACGGCGCGGTGTTGGTGGCGCTGTAGTCCCCGAGCCAACGTTCCGGGCTTAAGCCCGGGGCGAGGGTACCAATTCCGCCCGGCTATTTACACCCGGGGAAATGAAAGCATTAGCGAAGTCTAAAGTTCATCAATGATCGCGGGTGTGGGTGACCAACGGTGGGTGGTCATCCTCACTGATATCAAAATATGTGGCCGAGTGTCATGAATAGCGAACACTGATTGGTCAAATTTAAAATTTGTTGTTGTATGACAAATGACGACAGCGAAATAACAAACATTTCTTGCAACTGTATTGTATTTTTGCAAGATTTTGCAAATTTCAAAACATTTTCGAAAGCCAAAAACCGTCTAAAAACGTCTAAAAGAATGAAGCAAAGTCGCCGACGTTAATGAAGGTAAGTTTGTTTTTAGCATTGCCGTATTATTTGCTTTATAATTGATTTAAAAACTGATACGATCGGTTGCGTATGGTAAAGTGAAAATAATTTCACATTATTTCAGTGTATTTTTATTAATATTACGTATACCCTTTTTTGTAAACTAAAATATTTAAATAAAGAGGAAAGCAAAGTTATTTTCATGCAAGCATTTGAAATCAGTTTATTTCAATTTTCAAACTCGATGAAAACGTTTTGCGAAGCGTTTGTGGTTGAATTTTGTATTAAATTGAAGCTTATATTACGTATAATAACATACCTAGCATATATATGTTTGGAAAAATTGATCATTTTGTAATTAAAAATGATATTTTGGGGGGATTTTTCAATTTTAAAACTATTCTTAAAATTATCGTGTTGCCATGGCAATACTTCATGTTTGGAAAACATAATGGTTTTGTCAGCAAGGCGAGGGTTTCTGCATGCATATATTTTCTAGTTAAAGGATGTAATCGGGGTTTGATTCCGGCAATAGACACCTTAAGATTGACGTTACGTTTACGGCAAACGTCAAACCGCTAGCGAAGTTTTTGATTTTACAACTCAATTATAATAGCTTTTACACCAGTTTTGAAATATGTTGAACTTATTAAACTTGTGCTCTTTAGGAATGATTTAAGAAAGCAATTAACCACTAGTCGTGTATTCACCAAAGCAGTAAAATAAGATCTGCCGTTTGAAGTTGACGTTTGGCGTATAAATTTCATACTTGAACTGCTATGAGGGCTTGTAGTCGTTCAAGCATGAAATTTATACGCCAAACGTAAACTTCAAACGCCAAATCTTAATTTACTGCTTTGGTGAATACATTATTAGTGGTTCATTTGCTTTCTTAAATCATTGGTAAATACCACAAGTTTAATAATTGTTTAATATATTTCAAAATTGGTGTAAAAGCTATTATAATAGAGTTGTAAAATCAAAAACTTCGTTAGCGGTTTGACGTTTGCCGTAAACGTCAATCTTAAGGTGTCTAATGTGCAGTTGTCTCCTGTGGCACAGTCGTCAGAGCAAGCGCCTTTGCCCTATCTGATCGAACACCGCGGAAAAACGTCTGCGCATGCACCAAATTATGAAAATATGGCGGGGAATTTGAATATCAATTTCTAAAACAAAAACATGCTTATTAATTGGTCAAAAATTAGTAAAACAAACGAGAAAATATAGCAAATGGGTAGACTAGACATTAATTGAAAGCGTCCTAGCATTTAAAGTATGGAATGAAATATAATTCATGTAAAAAATTGTTGATTTTAACGGACACGACTTCGAAAATTTTTGCAAAATTATTCAAAACAAAAATTCAAACTAAAAAGTTAAGAAAACTCTCGAAAAGTTAAGCTTCTTAACCCACTCAAATTGTAGAATAAATCCTAAAGTTTAATTATTGTGAACACGAAAATTTTTTATATTTGGCGACACAGTTTTTTTTAAAGAAATGTATCTCAAACGAAAATTCGGAAATTGTCGTTGCTTAGTTGATAAACAAAATGTTTCAGACGATAAATTTGTCAACAATCACCTTTAGTTCATATTCTTGTACAATACAATTTCTTGAACCTTCTGGCTGTATTTATTTCTAGTTTTTAGAATGACATGTTTATTTTTGCGCTCGAAATCTGGCTGTAAAGACGCACAATGAAGTCACTCCTTTTTACCGCCATTTTGAGCCTTCGGAAACGTTCGGAACAGCTTCTCATCAAGTTCGCAATACTATTACAGGTAAGGTTGACGCATGCGCTGACGTTTTTCCGCGGTGTTATCTGATCGTGGGTTCGATTCTCTTGTTGCCCACTCATGTGAAAAGAGTCAGTCAATGCTCTGCCGAAAGTTGTAGGTTTTCATCGACTTCTCCGGTTTCTCTCACAGAGAAATTTGAAAGGGTGGGTTAGGTTAAACGCAGTTAATTAAGAAAGTAATATCACAGTTGTTGCAAATAGTCTAGGCTAAGCTAGTGTAGAATTACTAGGTAATACTTGAGGTAAATGTAAAAATGCGCTACATTAATCTCAATTTTAAAGGGAAGTGGCAATATAAATTTTTATTTCCTCGTTTGAAAGAACTTTTGAAACTATATATTAACTTATTTTACCGACTTTTAATATCTTGCTTAGTTCTTGAAATATTTTCACTTGAAGTAATGAGATGTCCGCTATCTTGGATAAATTTTTTATCTTATTAATTAATGGTAGTTTTGGTGACGTCACAACAGGGATTAGCCGTATAAATGTATTCGTTGCTGACCAAATATTGATTGGTAGATGTTTTAAAGGTTTTGAGTGATCTTGATATTTCGAAGGGCAGACAGAGTACAGTTTTGAGTATAGAATGATTAGTGGTGGCCCAGATAAAAATATTGCGTGACCCCTGTTGTGACGTGCATATCTGCAAAAATTGAAGATGGCGGACATTTCCTTCATTTCGATCAAAACAACTATTTGTAGAAGTAAGCAAGATATCGAAAAAACGATAAAAGAGTATTATTTATAGTCTTAAAAGTTCTTTCAAATGAGAAAATAAAAAAATATATTGCTATTTCCCTTTATTAAACTTAATTGATCTTATAATGTTGAACATTGTAGTTACGACTTCGTTGCATGTAGAAATAGGTGTTCCACTTTGACCATACCAAACTGTACTGCTGCACTTTTAACACTGGAGCACAGTTAATTGAGCCGCAGGCAAAGTTACCGCAGAGCTGCAGACGAAAATAAAACCTTTTTCTTTTTCGTTTTAGGCAAGAGATTGTATCAAAAGCCAAGCGTTGGATAATAATGCTGACATCCTATTCGTTTATATCATGTGGACAACACTTAGGCACTTTCATTACAGTGTTTGTCTTAGCTCTCACACAAAAGGAAAAGATTCCAAACCTAAATTTTTTCGCGATGATCGTCTTACTTCGCGAACTGAGCGAAAAACTATGCCTGTGTTTGCCAACTTCGATCAGTTACATTACAAATGTCCGCGCGGCCTTTCAACGCATGGAATCATTTCTGCAACGGAATGATTCTTCGAATTTTGGACTTGATTCGAAACGCTCTGTTCAAATCAATATTATTAAAAACATTCCTGATACAGCCAAAAAAGTCTCTGTGAAAACTCCTCTTGTATGCACTGAAACCTACACATCTATAGAAGAACAAAAACACTTGCAAAATAAAGCATTACATGAAGTAACGAACAAACCTCGTCAGCACGACCCACCATATCTTAGCTTACACGAAGTAACCTGCAGACTTCCTTCACGAGTTTCACGCCAGTCTCCCGAGTCAAATTGCACGGAAATATTGAAGGACATCACATTTAACGTAGCTACTCCGGGATTGGTGTTAGTCTGCGGTCCGGTAGGCAGCGGTAAGTCGTCGCTATTGTCAACCGTTCTTGGTGGAGAACTCCTGGTAACAAATGGCTTCGTCAAGTACTCGGGAACTCTCGCTTATGTTTCGGATACCCCTTGGGTTTTCTCTGGGACTATCCGTGAGAATATATTATTTGGCTTGCCTTACAATGAAAAATTGTATGCTGAAGTGATCACAGCTTGTCAACTGGAAAAGGATTTTAAAACATTCCCTCAAAACGACTTAGCTCTTATCGGAGAACATGGTGCAACAGTAAGCGGTGGTCAGCGGACACGTATCGCTTTGGCACGTGCAACATACTCACAGGCCGATATATATTTACTGGATGATCCACTCAGCTCCTTAGATGTAAATGTCGCCGAGAATGTCTTTCGGTTAGTATCTTTCAATGAGATATATTATTATTATTTATATTACTGTCCAGACTCTAGTGTTAGATATGATTGAATCAAGGGTTTATTAATGGACTATTCCCCAATTAATCAAAATTTTTAACTCAATAAGTCTAGACAAAAATTTCATCACAGCTTGAAAGAGCATCACAAAATTAGTAATATTCCAAAGTTTCGTTGTGAAATGTTGTCCCCGAGCCGGCGGCGCGAAGCGCCGTGCGAGGGTACTAATTCCCCCCGGCTATTTACACCCGGGGAAACGAAAGCATTAGCGGAGTTTAAAGTTCATCAATCATCGCGGGCGTCGGTCACCAACGATGGGTGGTCATCCTCACTGATCTCAAAAATATGGCGGACTGTCATGAATAGCGAACACTGATTGGTCAAATTTAAAATTTGTTGTTGTATGGCAAATGACGACTTCAACTGACAGATACTTCATGAAAATAATTTGGTTTTTGCACTACAGTATTTTGTACGTTTGCAAAAACTTTTGACAACTTTAAAAGCAATTTGTTATATAAAAAGTTTCATAAAAACAATTACGGTATCAAATACCATTGAAAAAATATGGAACCAAACGAAGAGCGACAAGAAAACGATAAGAAAGCCGAGCGTCTGGCAAAAAGAAGGGAGCGAAGACGACAACGTTTGCTCGAGAGACTGCTGAGGAAAGAGAAACTCGCCTGGGAAAGCGCAGAGAAGCATGGAAAAAAAAGACTGCTGAAGCAAAAGGTAAGCAAAATGAGTATATGAGAGTCTATAGGCAACAGAAACAGGCTGGAGAAAGTGCCGAGGAAAGAGAAACTCGCTTGGCAAAACAAAGAGAAGCGTGGCAAGAAAGGACTCCAGAAGTTAAGGGTAAGCGAAAAGGGTATAAAAGGGTGTATGATTTAGATAAAATGCAAAATGAGTCTGAAGCAGAAGGAACAAACAGGCTACAAAAGAGAAAACAAGACCAAGCAACCGAAACAGTTGATGAACGAGCAAGAATACTTGAAATACTACGAGCAGTTTTTCACACAGCAAGTTCAAATGAAAATGACCAAGAATCAAATGAGCAGTTGAGTATGTCTGTTGATGCAACTGTAGATATATCTGTTCCTGAAGCAGACGAGGATAGTGAGTCTGTACATGAAGCAGAGGGGCCAGAGGTGAGTAGAAATGAATATTTACATGAGGGTGGTTGGCAAAATGTTGACAACCCTCTGCATGAGCTAGAGTTTGTACAAAATGAAATGCACAGTTTTCATTTAGATCAAGAACATTTAGAGCATCGACAATGTATAATGTGTAAAGAAGCTTGGCCGACACGACAGAATTTAGCATCAGAAGTATACATTTGTTACCGGTGTAAAAGAGACAAGAAATCACCCAAGAAATTCAGTGCGGAGAATGACATGGACCCAGGAATAGTTCCTGAACAATTGAGAGGTTTGACACAGGTAGAAGAAATGTTAATTTCAAGGGTTTGTCCCATTATGAGAGTGTATAGAAAACATGGGGGTCAGAGGGGGTATAAAGGACATGTACTTAACTTACCACAAGATATTCAAAGTTTCTTGAATAGGTTGCCTTCTCGTGTGGCAGACTTGCCTGTCTTGATTGTGCGAAGACATGGTGCAGAAGACACGCATCGAGACTTTACTGTGCGTCGACACAAAGTTCTTGAGGCTGTACTATGGTTAAAGACAAACAATCCGTTCTTTAAAAATATTGAAATTGATAGAGATGTCATCCAAAGTTTACCAGAAAATGGTATTCCTGATGAGCTAAGGTATGTCATTGATGAAAATGAGCTTTCAGTTCATGTTGAAAATGAGGGGCCTCCCCAAGACCCAGTAATGAGTGCTAATGCAAGTGTGGAAGAGTTAGTTTTAGGAAGTGGCAGTACATCGTTTATTCCTATGCGTCAAAGACAGAGAAAAGAAGGTGCGGCTATCCAAGATGCAGTAAATGAGGTTGATCCATTAGACTGGCCATCTACTGAAGGTAATCTCATTAATGAATTTAAAACAGATGGTTTAGCTACTATGGCCTTTCCTACATTGTTTCCTTATGGGAAGGGTGACCCAACAAATAGGGCAAGACAACATGGTATAACGTTAACCGAAGCTTTCAAACACTTAATGAAGTTTGCAGAGAGGCTTGCAGATGGTAAGTTTGAATGGAGGTTTGCTTCTCACCCTCGGTTTCCTTATTGGGCGTTAAACATGAAACAACGACATCAGCTGTTGTCACAAGCAAACGTTTACTTGCGTCAACATCCTGCTGATGCAAACATGACAATGGAAGAACTGAAACAGATGGTCAATTCCATGAGTGCAAATCAAATGGTAAATAGGTTGCAGCGCTATGTGTCCAAAGTACAAGGTACGAATCAGTATTGGTATCAGCGGCTGCAGGAATTGCTGGCCCTGATTGAACAAAAAGGCTGCCCTACTTTTTTCTTTACCTTTAGTGCAGCTGACATGCATTGGCCAGACTTACAGAGGCTGTTGCAGAATGATGAAGGTGCAAGCAGATCTGAGCGAGCACAAGCTGTAATCGACAATCCCCATCTGACTGATTGGTTCTTTATGCAGCGGCTGCAGGAGTTTGTCAGACATTGGCTTAATGGCGTCTTGGATGCTGAGTGGCACTGGTATCGTTTTGAGTACCAAGCTAGGGGAAGTATTCATTGCCACGGATGTGCAAAGTTAAAAAATGACCCTGATATAAGAGAATTACGTAATAAGGCATGCATTGCTTTCCTAGAGAGTGAGACAACAAGGTACGAAATGTCACCTGATGATTTTGAATTCCTTTGCGGGGATGTGATAAGACAGGGAGAAGATGCTGAGAAGTTGTTAATACAGTAAGAAAAAATATTTCCATATTAATGTTTCCAATGTATACTGTATGTAGATCAAGCTAACTGTGCAGAATCTGTTGTGGGATAATTGTTTCAATAATAAAATACCGGATCATAATTATTGTCAGTAGTAGTTACACAATACCGGACTCGCTTCTCATAGTCATAACATTGAATTTTGCATTTTTAGAGATGTCTTACTGTACCTCCTACTCAATATATTGCAATAGCATTTCAAAATACCATTAAAACTATACCTTGGCATGCTCCCAAATGTTGATATCAACTAAAAGTGTGCAGGTCAAATGTTCATGTCAACTACTGTAAAAAGCGAATTTTGTATTATGCATGTATTAACCACTGCTGTCTATTTTGGATATTTAATAAATATGACTACTACTGTAAATTAAAAGGCAGGATAAACTACTGTACACAACTTTTGCCTAAAATTGTCGCATACAACCTGCTTATATGCATGTAACAACTTGAGTGTACTGGGTGAACCAGCACACAACTATGCCTATGACAACGTAAGTGAGTAAATGCAAGTTTAATACAGTGTCAACTTGTGTCCTTGATATTTTACACAGTAAAACTCAAGTTGTACAAGCAGGTTGCATAAGGCAAAAGTTGTGTAGTGTAAATCTGCCTTAATACACAAAACACTCACCAAATATCCAGCTAATAATATATGCAGATAGCCAATCTCCACAATTTTGAAAGGTCTTTCGCCCATCTTTTTTATTATTATGCATATTTTATTATATTATAATACGGTAGTATTACCTTTGCTACATTAAAATTGAAAAAGTAACAATATTTTACATGTAAACAAAAATTCCTTATAAAATTCCTTAAAAGGTTTCAATTTTCCTCAAAGGAATTTTCAATAATTTCTGAAGATTTCATTGGAATGTAAGAAATTACATAAATAGAAAGTGGAAATTTAACTGTGGCACAAATCTGTGACTGTGGTCATACCACTCATACGGGTTTCACAGGAAAATGTTTCACTCAGTCAAATTATGGTGTGATTAAAACTGTTTTATGACTAATTCGGTAATATTTGGCTAATAGAAAAAGCGCACATGTTTAATAATAAGTTATGATTATTTTAAAAGTATGTTGACTGGCTGGTGACAACTTTTAATGAGGAATTGCCAGATGAAAACTGGAGGATACCAGACCCTCATCCATCTGCTGTTAGCGCTACAACATTGGATAATCGTGACAATGATTATCACAGGTTAGTTAATACTGTAGAAAGACACACTAGATGCAGTCCAGCGTATTGCTTGAAACAGAAAAGAGTGGACCTGCTTGCAGAATGCAGATTTGGTTTTCCAAAGCCATTGCAAGAAGAAACAGAACTGAGCATTGAGCTGGTGGTAGGTAAGAATACAAAGTCTGTTGAGTCTGAGTTACATACCAAACGAAATGATCAAAGATTAAATTCACATAACAGGGTGATGCTCGAAAACTGGCGGGCAAATGTAGATTTGCAAGTCATTGTAGATGAGAAGGCTTGTGCAAGATACATGGCCAAGTATGCTGCGAAAGGAGAACCCCGATCGAAATCGGCATCAGAAATACTAAAATTGTCTGTGTCTTCATTACAGAATGATGATCAAGTCTCTTCGGCCTTCAAGAAAGCAATGATTCAAGTTGCTGGAGATAGAGATATGGCAGCACAAGAAACTGCACATATGTTACTTAGTCTACCACTGGTTGGCTGCACATTTAGTTTTGTTACTATTTCTTTAGATAACAGCAGGAAGGTTAATATTGATGCAGAAAACGAAAGCGATGAGGTACTTCAAAAATCTGCGCTACAAGAATATGCAGAACGTACAAAATTGAAGAGTAGGTATACAGGCTTGTCTCAGCTAAATCTGATGCAATATGTGTCACAGTACACGAAAGTCCGAGGTGAGTTGACAAAACGAGCTAATCCGTACATTGTCAGGACATTTCCAAAGATTTCCGCTAATCCTGCTGGTCCTGATTTTGGTAAATACTGCAAATATCAACTAATAAAGTTTAAACCATGGGAGGGTCAACCGTCAAATGCTTGGAACAACGAGGATGAAAGTGATCAAATGTTTATTAATGCATATGAATTTTTTCTTATGACAGATGAATTTGCAGAAGAAAATGTGTTTAGGTATTCCGATGAAACAGACAGAGTTCATGATGCGCAATGTGGTCAAACCTTTGAAAACGATCCAACTGACAATCAAGATGATGATGACGAAAGTGAAGTTGACCCTGATGATGAGGAGGAAGTCGATGATTGGATGTTATTATGCAGAATTAACCAAGATTATGGTGAAGCAGGTAATCGGATGTCAGACAATGAAGCAGTGGACTGGTTTGAAATGGTAAGAGCTGTGCCTAGAGATTTATTAAAGGAATCTCCAGGATGGATTTATAGTCAAAGAAAGGAGGCTGAAGAACATGGTCAGCATTTTCAAGAAGATGATCAACAATGTGTAATTGATCCGGAGACCTTGAATGAAAAACAACGCCTTGCTTATGACATCATCACATCTCAGGATGGTGATAATGCCGAGCCTGTTCATATGATTGTGTGTGGAACAGCTGGCACAGGTAAGACATATTTAATAAGTGCAACAAAACAAGTATTAGCCACTCAGTGTGTTGTTACAGCAACTACTGGGATTGCAGCCTTTAGTATTAATGGTCAAACATTACATTCTGCTGCTCAACTTCCTATCCGTGAATATAGGGATTTGCAGGGTGATTCACTACAGCGGTTACAGCTGAGGCTGGAAGGTAAAAGATTTCTGATTATTGATGAAATGTCAATGGTTGGACATAAAATGCTATCATGGCTTGACAATAGATTACGTGCTGGTACTGGAAAGGAAGATATCCCTTTTGGTGGTCTGTCAATAATTCTAATGGGAGATTTTGGTCAATTACCACCTGTTGGTGATAAGCCAATGTATGTTTCAGGTAATGGAACTGTAGTAAGTGACCATGGACATAGTTTGTATCTGATGTTTGAGTCTGTCATTATTTTAGATCAAGTTATGCGTCAGGCTGGTGAGGACCCTGAGGCAGTTGCTTTTAGAGCCTTGCTGATGAGAATGCGAAATGGAGAAGTGACAGGGGAGGACTGGAAACTATTATTGGAGCATTCAACAACAAGTGTACCAATGGATCAATTTACTGATGCCATCCGATTGTACTTTGACAAGAAAAGTGTTGCTGAATACAATTACGAGAAGCTATTGCAGCTTGGACAACCTGTTGCTAAAATTCAGGCAAAGCATTCTGGTCATGGTGCCAGTGCGGCAACGTCGGACGAAGCTGGTGGATTGCATGCTGTTCTGTTTTTTAGGGGTGCACCGGAACTCGGTTCCGGCCGGTTAGTTCCGGCCGGAACCCCGATTTTTTAGAGTTCCGGTACCGGCCGGAACTAGTAAAAAAAGCATGGCCGGAACTCTGTTGTTTTCAGAGAGATAGAATATCAAACGTTTTTGTGTCTAACAAAAGGTCACAGTAGGAAGAAATTTGGACTACGCAAGGGAAATGTACACTACTAACACTTCATTATGACGTTTAACGCTTGTCAATCTTTTTATTCTAACATTTGCGAGCTCTCTCCTTTATGACTTGAAGTGTCTGCCTGTCTGGCAGCGGACAAAGTAACATATGACTATATATGGCTTAATAAATTAGTTCCGGTTCCGGCCGGAACTTTTTTCCAGTTCCGGTCGGATCCGGTTCCTGCCGGAACTTAAGAAACTGGTTCCGGTGCACCCCTACTGTTTTTATCCACAAAAGCAGAAGTAATGCTCACTTGCAACCTGTGGACTGAAGTTAGTCTCTGCAATGGATCATTTGGCACTATTGAGCAGATTTGGTTTGAAGAGAATATGGGTCCACCAAACCTGCCAATAGCAGTATTGGTACACTTCCATAGTTACACTGGTCCTGCATTCCTAGATGCATGTTCTAAATGTATACCTGTGCCACCCAAAGTGTTTGAATGGGTGGCTGATGGAAAGTATCTGTCAAGGCAACAAGTGCCCTTGCGGTTGAGGTATGCAATGACTATTCATAAGTCACAAGGACAGACACTAACAAAAGCTGTTGTTGATTTAGGTAAAGGAGAAAAAGTTGCTGGATGCACATTTGTAGCTACATCACGGGTGAGATCGATTCATGATATTGTATTTGAACCTATGACATTTGATCGCCTGAAAGCAATTGGTAGGAGTAAGAATATCCAAAAACGACTCGAAGCTGAACAGCGACTTAAAGTGCTTGCAGAGAAAACTGTCCAAACATATAATAGGTCATGAGTTGTCATATTAAGTTGAAGAGTTGTGGTGTTCAAGCACCAGCATAGTATACTGGGCACATATACTGTGCTTTCGAGGTTATTTCTCCTGTTACTAGGCACAATTTTAAAGGTGTAGTCTATGCCTCTATTATTGTGTTTTTGAGGAAGGCATTCAGGGAGTTTGTCATTGCCTGTTACCTAGACATAATATTATATATTATGTTTTTGAGGTTGGCTGCATGTTGACATACCTGTGCTTAATATTAAATAGTATTATTACGTATATGTACTATAAATTTAAAACTTTGTCTTTTTCTTCTACATACAGTAATATTTTATATCTTTAGAAATTGAACCAAATTCATATAAAGGTAAGATTTTTCTCCTGTTTTGAGTAACTATTCTATTGATAAAACAGTTCCCTTCAGATCAAGACTACAGGGACCGGTTGTACGAAGCCTACATTATTAAACGAAGGCCGGATAGCGCTATCCACCGGATAGTGATTATTCAAGCTTTGTTAAATCAGTCGTTGATTGGTATAACTCATATTAAAGTTTAGTATTTATAAATTAAATGTTTTTCATACTTCTTCTCACTTGTGTGTTGTCTCTATCCATAGTTTCACAGTTTTTCAAGCATTTTATAAAGTTTGAAAAAATTACTATCCGGTTGATAGCCCTATATCTGACCTTCGTACAACGGAACTCAGGGGCCGGTTGTTCAACGGTGGGTTAGCGCTAACCCTGGGTTAAAATTTAACCTTCTGCTTTAGTTTATGTATTTCTGCACGCATGTTTATTTCAAAACTTCAGAGAAGTAAACTCCTTAGATCCAGACAAGATATCTGAAAAAATATTTCCAAATTTCCATAGACAAGCTGTGAGGAAGTTTGCTTTGAATTTTAGGTTAGGCTGGGGTTTAAGCTAAACCAGTTTTGAACAACTGGCCCCAGAATAATATTCAAGACACTCCAGATCACTCTTCGTGGATATTGCGTGTGTTACTATGGTTACCGAAAATTCACACGCAACATCCACGTAAATACGAAGCGCGCGAAATTTTGGTTTTTGGCTTTTTTGTTAGGCAGTAACTGACAGTAAGTTTTTTTCCGAAAAAAAACAACTTTAAAATTTGTTAAGTTTTTTGAACATACACTGTATCTTTGAACGAAAAATAATTACACTACTATTTGTGGAATATATATGTTTTGGGCAAAATCCTAACTTCATTTACTGAGTTTGTCCCAACAAAAAAGTTTTCGTGTTTTTAACAGTTTTTTTTTTGTTTTTTACAGATATTTCAAATAATTTGGCGGAAAGGTATGACTATATTTTAAAATTATTTATAGTATGTTTCTTAGCTGATGTTAAACAGCCTTTGCTTCATGGCCAAAAACATTCCTGTTCAATATAAAAGATGGAAATGTATTCAATATTAGTTTTATCATGCACTGGGAGTGGAGATGTTGTATTTTATTAATGATTTCCTTTAATATTTTCTTTTATAATTATAGCAAAGATTTAACAAACACAAAAGTAAGTTGCTCCAATTTTTTGAATGAGCGAATAAAACCATATTAAAAGAGGCATCCAGGTTGAACATATAGGTATAGCTTGGACTTATAAACTTAGCTATTTCATAAATCCCTATATTATAACTAATCCCTATATTATAACTATTTCATTTTAGTGGAATTACCGGAATTGGACAACCCTGCTATTCTTGGTATGTACATTGCAATAAATATGTGACCAGTATAATATCTACTTTTTGGTTTTATATAAAGCAACATTTGTTCTAGCTGGTTGGACCTCACATAGAATTAAATGGACTTACAACTAATAGTAAATTGTGTGAACAGAGGCCAGTTGTCACCAATTGTTTGGCTACAGTTGTACAGACTGAAGTATATTTGTCACCTTGAGGTATATTTTTGTGACCTCGAGGTATATTTTTGTGACCAATATTTCAGTGATCATGCAGAGGTAAAGTTAATTGTGACCAATTGCTCGGCAAAAATCCTCTTGGCCAGCCACAATGAAATATTTTCTCATGTTAAAATTCAATCCAATAACCCAGTGAGTACCATGAATGTACAGTAGTTGTAGATTGTCCTCTCCTACACTAGCTACATGTAATAAAGTGTATACTGACAATTTCATTTTACAGAGCATCGTTATAACATTCTACGGATTATCAATTTGCAATATCATGCATGTGACACAGTAACCTCATCTTTAACCTTCTAACACAACATCTTTTATTTTAGACGTTCACGTTGATGATGGTAAGAATTCAGTTATATATTTAAAACATAAATTCTTAAAGCTAGGTCATTCTGTTTGAGAAATAATAAAATCTGATATACTCAATTGACAAGAAAGGATTAACTTTCAATTATTTTCTCCATGGTAGAGTTGTGAATGTTTTCTACAGTAATATAGTAATGATTGATAATTAAGAATATATTGTGTACAATATATTACAGATTAAGTACAGATTTCTTATGAATATTTGCAACATTTTTTTCTAATTAACTATAGAAAGTGAAGTCGAAGAGGATGAAGAAGTCCAGCCACGTAAGTTAATCTTATAAAACAATATGTTCAGTATGGTTCAATCATACTTATAATTATATTATTATTACTTCTACAATAAGGTGCATGATTTTATTTCAGTGAATGAACAACCTCGACAAGAAGATGCAAATGGTATGGTTCTAATGTTGATATACTTACATACCTATATCTGTAATATGTAATTTGGTGTAACTACAGTTAGTACTATTTTTTTCAGTTCAAGAACGACAACAACGTCCACGGCATGGTAATAGTACATTCTTTATAAAGTTTAATTATACCTCTCTTGTGTAATTCAAACTAATCAACATTCTTTCATTACAGTTAATCATGAACGACACCCACAACGTCGTGACGGTATAGTTCTTGAAATAGATTTATACACTAAGTACTGAGGACTGTTATTGAACAATAGCACTAGCTCTGGGTCAAACTTTAACGTCATTGTTTTCGTCTATATATATAGTAGAACTTCACATTTGTTTACTTCAGAACTTTGGAAAATTAAATTTCTTTCGATTCTATTTTTCTAATTTAGAAAATCAAGCAAGGAGAATGGGCAATGGTAAGTACTGTATATTCTGTTAACATCCGTATTTTATCAACATCTTAGTAAGTGCACTTCCAGTATGTACTGCAACCTAAATGAATATTCTTGAAAACTGATTGTATTTTCTTTAAATTTAGGACGTTGCTATAAGTGTGGCCTCCGTGGCCATTATGCTGTGGCATGCCGTTCACGTATGTACTTTACTAAAACTACAAATATTATAATAGTCCTGCGATATTACAGTAGTCAAAAATATTGGACCAATTAACTTTACAATAAATTTTAATAATTATTGTATGTTGGAAAATGAATGTTTCTTTGACAATGTTCCTGGAAAATACAAAAAATAAGCACAATTATAATATTATTCTGCATATATAGAACATTAACCCATTAAGCGCCAGCGCTCTCCCATTGACGAGTAAAATCGTCTGGCGTTAGACAGAGTAAAATGCTAACGTAGGGTGCATCCGGGTGCATTGCGACTCAATGGGTTAAACAATGTAAAAGAGTTGTACAGTTGCACTTGCCGGATGAAGTCAAACTGTGCAAATCCAATTTCCAGCATTGTTTCATTTAAAAATAAATATTTTTAAATTATATACGACACCATGTTGAAGAATTGCTCGAAGTAGGATCAATTTTGAGTACAGTGAACATATTGAAGGCAACAACAACCTTCGAAAAAGGTCCATAGAAATAACAGCCTTAACTTATTCTTTCGAATAAATGCTGTAGGACCCAATAACAGACTAACCCATTGAGTGGCAACACTCTCCCGATGACAAATAAAATTGTCTGGTATTATACATAATAGAATATCAAAATTGAGTGCATATTGGTGTATTTCCACCAGGGCTCGAATTTTATCGCGGCAGTCGCGGCAATTGCCGTAGAGGGAGTACAAAATGCCGTGGATCATTGCGGAAACGACGGCAATTTTTTACCGTATAGTATAATTTTTATACTATTCACTAAATTACTATATTAACAATAAAATTAAATTTTTGTTACAGTACTTTGAAAAAATGCCGTGAAAACTGCCAAAATTGGCGTAGACAGCTGTTACGTTCTACGGCAATTTTTACCGCCATTGCCGTCGATTGGTTTCAGGGAAATTCGAGGCCTGATTTCCACTTGACAGGTTAATCTTTTAAGAGGCAATGCACCCTCATTAGCCATACTTTAGTATTTTACTCTGTCTAATGCCAGACGATTTTGCTCTTGTCTAACGCCAGATGATTTTACTTTTCAAGTGGAGAATGCTGCCACTCAATTGGTTAATAATACTACTTATTTTTTATCAGTGAAAATGAAGCATTCTGATTGGCTGAGGAGCCTTTCAGAGCGGGCCGGTTTTTTGCATCCGGCCCGCTCTGAAACGCAACTGCCCGCTGTGAAATGCAACTGCCCGCTCTGGTTTTCGCGCCAAAAACCGAGGAGTGAAACAATTTTTAAACGAAAAAATCTGCCAAAAACGTTTGAAAAACATAGCCTAAAGATAGTCAGAATACGAAAATGAATTGCATCAAGCCCTAAAGGCTTCATACTAAGCACGATGTTCACGACAATTGACAATATTTTGACATAGAAATGCGACTGAAAGTCGGAAAGTATTTGACATGTATAAAACTTACGTCGAGAAAACTATATATTTTTTGAATGCTCATGTATTCGGCCACTTAAAAGCGAAAAAATTACAGCTTAAACAGATATTGTAAAATAAATGTTTTCCCATTTAAAAGAAGGCTTAACAGCAGCAGTGAAAACAAGTCACGAATATATTCTCTATACCCATTTGTGTCATGTATTTTTCACTGGTATAAATGTTGTAAACAAAGTAAAAGTTTGTGTTTAAAAACACTTTTTTCAAGCATATTATCGTGAAACGACAAGAAAAAATACAAAAGTATAAAAATAACATACCTTTTTCATTGTCCTTTTAGTAGAAAAACGTTAATTAAATCAAAACAGATTCATTTTTATATGTTTTTGATCTGATCTGAACATGAACCTGTCGTTGTCCTGGGAGCAACTTGTCAAAGCCAAAGCCAAAACGCCAGGCATAAAAGTTTTTATTCCAAAGCTTCTCTGCTACCATATTCATGAAAAAAGCATGTACATTTTTACTGAAACGAAACGTCTTTTTGTGTGTTTCTTGCCAGTTTTCGCGAGTTTTCGTATTCGTGTTTCATATCTTTTAACTTTTCAATTGTTGTCAGCCTCCGAGCCTCGATTTGAAAATACACAACTGCACTGATCTCAAATTAGTTCGCAAGCATCACTGGAATTTTAATAAATTTAATTTTTACATTTGATAAAAAATAAACACGTTATTTACCGGCAGCGTCGGTCCGGATGAGAAAAACTGTGCCCTCGGTCTTGAAAACGTCCCTCGCCCTTCGGGCTCGGGCCGTTTTCAAGACCTCGGGCACAGTTTTTCTCATCCGGACCCATTTCCGGACCTCGCAGCCGGTAAATAACATATATATACTAGAATTTTATATTTTCAAATATAGGCATAGTATGCTGGTTGTGCGGTGAACGGGGGCATGCCAGGATCAAGTGCCCCCAAAGGCATGGTTCAAAAGAGGGGAAGGGACGGCCAGTTGTTTTTAACCATTGCAGATTTGATAAACTAACAATGTAATTTTATATTGTTACTATATCAAATCTGCAATTGTTAAAATTGTTTACAGTAATAACGGCTAAATTTGACAGTTAAATTTAGTTTATTTTTCAATTAAATTTATTAAATTGATATATTAGGGCTGTTTATATGGAAAAGCTAGCCCATGCAGCCATCTCACCAGGTCGATTACTTTCTTCTCTGTTTTGCCTTCAAGATTTTCTCAAAAAAGTTGATAAAAATATTTGGTTCAGATTAAGTGTAAACTGGTCTTTTAGTTAATCAAGATTTTCCTTTCGGCTTTGGGTCAAAGGATATATTTTCTTGACATAAATTAGCAGATAGCCCGCTTCATACAACCAGCCCCCTTGATAGTTTGTGTTGTTATTACTTTATACATGAAACTGCACTATCATGATCATACTATCATGACCATGACCCATGTTCTATATATTAATAGCTCTATAAATATACTTTATTCGTTCATTATAAAATAAAAATTACAAATGTGTAAAAGGTACTGTATCTTGTGGTTTGTCTTCACAACGCTATATACCAATGATAGCTGTACAAGTATATTCCATCCTCTGTTTCTTTACAATTTTCCAATAAAGTGTTTGTCATATAAGTTCAAGTCAGTAATATTAATAATGTCACAGGCAACATAACCCCGTTCGTGGTTACAAATACCGTCGCTTGCAACTAAGGGTGAACAGTTGCAGATAATACATTGTCTATTCTGATCACAAAGTTCGATGTTTTTACTGAAAAAGTTCAAAGTTTGTGATGATCATTTCATGGTTTCAAAGCCAACCAAGCTTGTAGCTACTTGAACGTTATATTGGCTGATCAGATTAAAACATGTCAACTAAGTGTTGTTGCTCATGACAAACAATTGAAGATTCTCACGCAAATATATGTAATGTTTTTATGAGCAACCGTTCATCGTTAGTTGCAAGCGACGGTACAACATTGATACTATCAACATTTTTCCGACTGTGTCCGAATGTCCAACGATCATTCAAAGATGTTATAAATTCCTAAAGTTCGTTTATAGTAAACCCGCTCGGTACTCACAATGATTTCATGTAGAAATACATGCAGTTTAATACGAGGAAATGAACTGATTCTAAAATATGTAAATTTAAAGCATTGACTTACAGTATAAAGCGATGTGAAGACAAGGTAACTTTTATTGCTATTTGCTAAATCTATAAATAAAGCCAAGTTAACATTTTGCATGTCTGTGACTGCATGTTTATATATTTTTTATAGTATAAAAATGAAATTGTAATACTATGATATAAATTAAATACATTTCTGTTTATTGGTATTTACTGTCTACTATTTACTGTTTATTGGTATTTACTGTCTAGTAAATATACTTCTTATTCTAGCAAGTGCACAGACTTCCATGACTTTTAATGCATCGGTCAAATCCAAGCGTGCCCAACCCCGGGCCATTTTCCTGTAAAGCATGTCCGGGGCTTGGGCATTTGAACTCAAACCTTTGCCTGGGGTAGGGCATTTGAAATTAAGGATTTGGAAGTTTTACAATCATCGAGTACTTGCGCTTATGCAAAAAACAATGGACATGGACTTCTGTGTAGTATTCTGTGAGTGAGACATTGACTGCATGATATCTCTTTTCCCATGGTAGGGAATTTAACTAAATAATTTAATGAAAAATCAAATGCCCCACATATGCCTGACCATGCATGGGCTGCGGCTTAACTTTCATTTGTGAAAAATTAAAAGTAATGGTCTTTTATTTTCTTCATACAATTTTGAATCAAAAATATGTTGTGCAACCACAACTACTGCTGATACTTCAATTTTGCTTTATATAGTGGTTTGGTTAGCAAGGCGAGGGGTCACTGCATGCATGTATTTCTAGTATTCCTCTGTTTAATGCCACACAATTTTACTTGTCCAGGACAGGAAAGTACGTGTATTGGTCATTAATTGATTAAATAAATATTTTCCAACAGGCTCATATCCAACCTCTTCAAGTTTCAGACCAAATCATGCAAGACTCTGTATAATTACACAATCCCGACAAGTTATGGATTTAGATAAGGCTACCCAGTCTAAAAAAAGATCAAATGCTAACAGGTTTTACCAAGAAAGTGGTATTGGCACTGCAGTAATACTACAGTTTATTGTGGGTATTGTTGATGTAAAAACAGGTGAACTCTGGAACTGCAATATTAGGGTCAAACAGAGGAAGCTTATTGTTGTAAGTATGCAATGTATACACTGAGCTAATGTAATATCCCTTACGAAAAAAGTATATAGGTGGCCTATAGGTGCCAATAGGAAATGTTCCAATTCCCTATAGAAGCCTTAATTTAGGCATCTATAGAGCTCTATAGGATTATAGGCATCCCTATAGGTCACGTATAGAAAATGTTCCAATTGCCTATAAAACCTATAGGTTTCCTATAGGAACCTATAGGTTGGCCTATAGGCCAGGCTTATATTCTTTTTTTGTAAGGGATTGACATATTTCATCACCCACATCAAACCAATGTATTTTTTACACTAATTAATTGTCATAGGTAGTCCAGAAATATTTGCAAGTTATGTTTAATTAAATAATTCTTGGCATTTATTTGCTTACCTCCAGTCCTGGTCAATCACAATAACAATTAATTATAGCTCAAAAATATTTTGAATATTTTACTTAAAAAACAGACTTAGGCCTATTTCAAGCGTCACGCTTCTCATGTGCCGAACCCATTAGAAACAATAGATAATGAGGCATTTTAGCTGATTATCTATTGTTCTAATGTGTTCGGCACATGAGAAGTTTGACGTTTGAAACAGGCATATAAGCATACATTTAATTTATAAAAAATCATAACTAGTTTAATTTAAACATTTAGCAGAGCCACTTGAAATCCAGCTGCACTGAGCTGATTTTAATACTGGGTTTCAAGTGTTATCTGCTAAAGACATAAACTATGAAATTTTGCTGATGTACTATACCCTACAGTTGGAGAGCTGAATGTAATGGAGGCATTTATTTCTTTTATTTTGTTACTGGCCTTGTGCGGTTTATAGAGGAGTGGGTTAAAATAGACGTAGGCTCACTTTGGTAGGTTTAGTGAATTTTGTGCTAGCATTTGGTAAGTATGACGTCACACGCGAAATGAAAACAACATGCATGCCTTGCATTCAATTGGCAGATGACGTCTACTTACCAAATGCTTGCCCAAAATTTACCAAACTAGCCAAAGCTAAAAATTCTAGGCTGGCCCAGTTGGAGATTAGAACTATGGTACCTTATGAATATAATGGGAAATGTGGGTTTTTCTATGGTCCATCCCGACCAAGGGTGGGTAGTAGCGAAGTAGCTGTAGTTCGCTACTGTAGCGAACTACAATTTTCAAGTATAGCCAGTAGTTTTTGACTACTTTATTAAAGCAGTAGCTGTAGTTATAGCGAACTACTTTTTGCCTAAAAGTAGCCAAGTAGTTGACTACTTTTCAAACAGTAAATCGCTATTCGCTACTTTTTATAATATTTAGCAACTTGATAGAATAGCATGATATTGAGACACGGTTTGCTTAAAATTAATACTCAATAGTCAATTTGCACTCTTGAACGAACACTGTAGTGCTTACAAAAATGTTGCTTTGTGTTTACTGTTGCTACTCGTAAGTCGATTTGTTATCAGCCTGAGTTAGTAGATGCTCCAAATACAGTAAAACTAAAAAATATAGCGTAGCGAAATAGCGAAATAGTGCGCTACATTTTTTAAGCAGTAGCTGTAGTCAGTAGCAATTAAACCACCTTTGTTCAAAAGTAGCAGTAGTTGTAGCTGACTACATATTTTTGAAGTAGCTGTAGTTATAGCGAACTACAAAAATGTTGTAGTCAACTCACCCTTGATCCCGACGTCCCGTCTACAATAAAACTCAAATATTTCTGAGGATTTGTAATGCTCTTCTTTACGTGACGGTAATATCTTTCCTTTCTTCCCTATTGAGGCATGAAAATTAAAAAGCTATTAAATCATTTAAGGACTTGCACACGCGCAGTGAGCCTGTGTAGATAATACTTGTTGGCAAGGACCAATTTGCATTAATGCCGTATATGTTACTAAAAAATAAAATAAAATAAATTTAAAAAAATAAATTTCAGTAGACACATTCTTCTAGTTTTGCTCAAGTAATGTAAATTGAACTGAATATCGTTTAAAACCATTGCACTCTTTTTACATAATATGCATTGTTTAAGTCCAGGAGTTTAACTATTTTGCGGGTTGCGGGCAGAAAAATGCGGGCTGCGGGCTAACACGATTGCGAGCCGCGGGTCTAGTTGCGGGCCTGACGAATTTTTAAAAAAATAATGTAAAGAAAATAACCATATTATTCAAAATTTTCTGTCTTTGAAGTATATTCTATGTCTAATGCTATTCATAATCATATGCATATGAATTTTTCCTTAAATTCATTCCGTTTTGTAATATCATGGAATCTCAGTTTATGAGTCGTACCAGACATTAAAGCCTGTTTCTACCGGGATAACTGTACACCAGTCCTAATCAAATTTTCTCGAAACACTGCACCCACGCAATGCCCTGAAATCATGTCGCAAGAAGTCCGTATAAAAAGTGAGTTGGACATTTTTGCATATGGTTCCGAATTCTTTCAGTCTTGTGTGACGTCATCAAAAAGGCTGCCAAATATATTTTTGTGTGAAATAAGTTTGAAATAACAAGGAAACCAAAATGCCATTTTTAATCGTAACGTAAAATCATATAAATAAATAAAAACTTGGTAACAAGCAGCGAGTCGCCATTCTTACTGTAAGTATATACATAGACAGAAATAGTCAACACATACAGGAAAGTATATCTCGACTACTGTACAGTCACAATCACGTTCCTATCCAGGGAAATATTCCGAAGATTTAACTGTTTTCTTTATTTGGAAGGTATTACATTAACTACACTACAGGAACCCAGATTCAAAGTAGGCCAAAAACCATTGAAATATGACTGTACTGTTTATTGCATGAACGGCCACAATTTGATACTGTAACGGTTATTTCCTACTTTCTTGTGCACAATAATGGTAAGAATAAGTTTGTGAACGGGGCCAAGGTCAAATAGAAACATATTTGTGAACGAAATAGGGAGATATAACTTTTATGTGCATCTACTGTAATAAAAGGCAAACATGGACACGTGGTTATTGGGCAAAGTGCAATAAACAACACAGTTTGTTAGCGTTAGTTCATATATACTCTAGTTCTTGCTGTTGTTACCAAATGTTTAATATTTAGAACTGTTTCTAGTCACAATATTAAGTGCTGTTTTTTAAGTTCACTTATAATCGAATTAACGCAACTTCCAGATTGGCGCCACGACATTAGGCTTACCAAATATGTGATAACATACTGTAAGAAAATACTGTCCAATGGCAGCTTGAGTTTCTTCTCTGAATCACAACGGATGGCTGTTTGGTACTTCATCTTGCAATTTTATTTTGGATAAAAAATTATCCTCGGTGAATAAGTGGTGCCAACCTTCCTATTCATGCCTAAACTGCGAATTTCTATTTTCATTGAATTGTGTCGATAATTTCATTAAAAAATTTGTCAGGACAGCAATTTGGCCCACGGCCCCCAATTGTTTTAACCCGCAGCCCACATTTCCTGACCCGCAGCCCGCAAAATAGCTGGACCCTATGTCAAGTACCATTGTTGTTCTATATGAAGACGCTTCTTTTCCAGCCAAGGTGCACGCTCAGGTTTTCCTGATGTGCTCTGCAAGTGTTCTTTAAGGAAAACGCACGCTCGACACTTTGTCTGATATTTAAAAAAATACGAAAACTCATAACCTGCCAATAATGATGGGGATCGAATCTTGTAGTATAGGTTTTACATATTTTGATTAAGTTAATTGCCTTGTGTATATGCATCTGAGTGTACAACTTTATCTAGTATGAAAAGACGACGAGAAATTTGCAATTGACTTATTGATACCTACATGTACAAATGATACAAACATTTATAATAAGCTTTCCGTAAAGACAACGAAGGTGCATATGTATTATATAATACCTTATTGAATTCAGATCGTTTAATTGGCTGTTTATGGTCACGTGATATTGAATAGAAAATTCCATTTCCCAAGAGTGCAATGGAATACGTTCCATTGCACTCACTGCGAGTGCAATGGAATAAAACGTATATAGTACAATTGCACTCTTTGTGTTTTCGATAAATCGCATCCCTCAAAATGCTTCTCATACGAATCTATTAGTCTATTTTGGTATTATATAAAACAAGTAATGAATGTTTTTTCGTGCAATGGTAAGAATATTTTCATTCGAAAAGGCGAATGGTAAGAATATTTTCATTCGACGAGGCGACAGCCGAGTTGAATGGAACATTCCATCTTTCACCTCATGAAAATATTCTTACCATTGCACTCATAGACATTCATTATTTGTATATTATATTACGAATATCCAAAAGTGAGAGGGACGTGTATTATTTCAAAGCGCGGCAAGAGGTCGTGCAGGCAAAAGGTCATGCACTCACGTGCCGGGAACAAGATTGCAATATAGCTACTGTAACTCAAACCCAGGCGACGTAAATGACAAATTTAGAACACCTATTTGTATTCGTTTTACCCTTTTGCTACCAAAGCAATATCTCTTACCATTTGATGAGCCATAATACAACATTCAGCTAGACGTAGCCATAGTCTTGGATTGGACTGATAAACTTGAACGGACTCAATAAGACAATCAAAAGCAACCAATGGTCGACCGTCATGTAGCATTTGTACACCAAGATTGTACAGTAAATGATAGCGACAATTCAAAGATAATGTACACAGTGGTCTGTTGTTTAATGGATTACCTTGGAAAAAGAAAAGAATGCCGAGTCTATTCTTTGGCGTGCCCCAGTGTTACCTGACTCGTACCCAGTCCCTGAATGAGGATTGAAAAAAATAATAGTGCATGATGGGAAAGATCAATCACACTCCTCAGTCACTGATCTATATATGTACACATTGACGACTGGGTACGAGTGAGCAGTATTACTACAGTACAGTAGGAAACCTAAACTAAATCTATTTAATACTTCTATCAGTTCTAAACTGTTCTGCCTAGAGGTCGTGAAAGAGCTTCAATAGCTTCCCATTCTCTCGTGCCCGCGAATACCGCCTGCTACGCAGGCTACGCCGAATCGACTATCGCTCATATTCGACGAGAGTGAGTGGAATAACTGTTTTATTATATACACAAGGTCTGAATTCACAGACTTTGCTTTTCGGATATTTTCAATATTTTTCGGCCGATTATTTCTTCAAAAATATATATTTTTAACCATTTTAAATTTTAAAAATTCATTTGCTAACCTGTAAACAATTTGTGGGAGTTTTTTCATTGTGTTTTTAATCCTGTAAAGGCTATAAAAAGCGAACAACTTGCCGTTTTCTCGTTCGCAAAAATCGGAAATTCAGTTTGAGCCGCCATTTTGTTTTTCTCTACTAGCAGGATATGAGCTAATATCCTGCTAGTAGAGAACCAATCAGATTGCAGAATACCTCATATCCAGACCTTGTGTATATAATAAAAAGTATTATTATGTACACAAGGTCTGGATATGAGGTATTCTTCAATCTGATTGGTTCTCTACTAGCAGGATATTAGCTCATATCCTAGGAAAAAGTTATTTCGCTAACCTCAGAATGACATTTCGTCAAAAAAATTTTCTTCAAGATTGGTTTAGAAACAAACTTGGAGTAGGGTTAGGTTAGGGTAAGGATTAGGGTTGGGGTTAGAGTTGGTGTTTGGACCGAATAGAGTTAGTGTTAGTAAAACCGTTGCTTTGTTACGTTTTGTCACTCTGAGGCCAGCGAAATAGCCTCTTCCCATATCCTACTAGTAGAGAAAAACAAAATGGCGGCTCAAACTGAATTTCCGATTTTTGCGAACGAGAAAACAGCAAGTTGTTCGCTTTTTATAGCCTTTACAGGATTAAAAACACAATGAAAAACTCCCACAAATTGTTCACAGGTCAGCAAATGAATTTTTAAAATTTAAAATGGTTAAAAATATATATTTTTGAAGAAATAATCGGCCGAAAGAGCAATTATTATTATTATTAAAAAATATTTACACAGGATAAAAAAATGCTTCAGTGACTATACACTGCTATCAACGCATGTCCTGTTTACCTAAAACTACTAAAAATTATGAGTATAAAAAGTCAATATATTAAAAATATTAAAAATCTAACTGCAGTCAATTCTGTAAAGGATTATAATGAACTAAGGTTCTCTTTAAGTTTTCGTTTAAAAAGCATAAAACTGTCAATTTCTCTAATATCTTTGGGCAATTTGTTGAATTCAATTGCTCCATTATAATAAAAGGCATGCTTTGTGGATTCCAAGCGTATTTTGGGAATCCTGACACTTATTCCGTTGTTCCTTGTGTTCTTTACATGTTGTAACCGTTTAAAATAACTGTGAAAGTTACTACACACATTCCTGTCCATGCATTGTTTCACCAGGGAACACGTTTGCAGCTTTGCAAAGCTCATCAGGTCAGGTAGTCTTAGATCTGCCGATTCACTTGATTTTATTACTCTAGAAGCTCGATCCTGGAGATTTTCAATTCGTGAAGTTTGGGTGGCATTCAAGTTTAGAGTAACAACGCTGGAATATGTTAGTAGTGGCATTATCATGCATTTGTATATAGATTCAGCAGCGTCCATAGTTAGAGAAGATCGTATTTTCTTAAGCAACCTTAACCTGCCAGATGCTTTCCTAAAAGCCTGACCAAAATGTTCTTTCAGGTTTACATTCTGGTCCACCAATACTCCAAGATATCTATATTTGGTTGTGAAATTGATCAGTTTATCGTTTAGATATACTCTTATGGGGTTATAAGATAAAAAGATAAACAAAATAGAAAAATATTGAAAATATCCGAAAAGCAAAGTCTGTGAATTCAGACCTTGTGTATATAATAAAACAGTTATTCCACTCACTCTCGTCGAATATGACTATCAGCTCATATTCGACTCGAGTTCGTAGAATAACTGTTAAATGTAAAGCACATTTGATCATATCCTAATGTAAATATGCGCTATGGAAATGCTAACCGTATAATCGCAGTACCCACTACCCAGGTACTTCAGTTTCGCCTGTAGCAAGAAGGGACTTATAGAGCCCGTTCACACGATACCGGCATGGAATTCTGACGGTACACACGTAAAAACGCACAAGTTGTAACAAACCTGCGGCAGACTTGCAGCAACGCTACTCCAACAACTTGTCAACAGGATGTGTTCGCACTGCTTGTTCCCAGCTTGTTGACAAGTTGTCAACGGCTTGTTGGCAACTTGCTACAAGGTTGTTCAGCTCAACAGACTTGTTACAAGAGGTTTGAACAACTTGTTATCGTCCTGCAATTCAATAATTTGTCAACAAGTTGTGAATGACAACCTTGTAGCAACTTGATGAAATAACAACATTGTCACAACTTGTTGACAAGCTTGCTCCAGGCCTGTTGCGAACACATCTTGTTGACAGGTTGTGAGATTTTTACGTGTGTAGAAAATCATCACGGTTTCAACTGTTCACACGATAACGGCAGATTATATTTCGCTTTGACAATATGCTGCACAAATCAGTTAAAATAGACAGAATAAAATATCCAACAACAACTTTTGCAGTTTTGCTAATTTCATTTTGCATAACCGTAATGAAATTCTTACGGTTAGGCATTCACACGGCACTCTGACGGTAGAATTTCGTTCTATTTTCAAACTCTTAGGTTTGCATACCGTTTTCAAACTCTTACGGTTAACGTTACGGTTTCACATTTTTTCATACCGGCATCGCGTGTGAACGCAACCTCTAAACGTAAGAATTTCGTACCGTTTTCAAACTCTGCCGGTAACGTGTGAACGGGGTCTTAGTTGTATACAGTAAATTACTCACTTTTGTCGACTGACGCAATCAAAGCAAGTGCTTTCTCATTCTCAGCAATAGCACGACAGAAATAAAACGATGCTAAGTTGAATTTCTGCATTTGAAAATGGAGGCATCCCAGATTATTGTAGTACATTGCAGACACTGATTCGCCTGTCTTTAAAACTTGGTTGTCTTTCGAGGCACTGTTGAGAATTTTCACAGCTTTTCGTTCATTATGACGAACATACTCGAAGTTACTTTTTATGAAAAGTCCTTCTGTGTCCTGCAAAGGAAAAAAGGTTAAAATTTCATGTCCTTTATTTACTGAATATGCAAATAAAGAGGAGGAAATATAAGGTTAAAAAACTAGCTACCACAATTTTACATTGTTTTACGAAATGTGGAAAAAAAAGCACCAAAACAAGGCTAGTCAGGTTTGTTCACCAAATCTACTAAATCTAGCATAAACGTCGGTACCTTTAACATTGATTTTCTCAAGAAGAGAATACATGGTATTATAAACTGATAGTGTTGGAGTATTCTGTAAGTATAAGGTGGCATTGACTACCTCGGCTGATATTAAATTTTGGAAGAAAAAAGAATGACAAATATTTTTTTCCATACTTGAGAAAATTTGCATTATATTGAGTCAAAACATGTTCATGAGATATTTGCACCCTTAATTAAACAAAGCCACAGAACGGTTTTTGGCAAAATAATTCGCACACGCAAGTTACTTGTCAAGGCTACTGTACGTGAACTCTAAGAAATACAGTACAATGAAGGTCATACCATGTTATTTACATTCATGATCGTCTTGATTTCTTTCTTGCAAGCTTTGATAGATTTCTGAAGCAAGTGAACCCTTGCCCTGTACTAAAGGAAGATAATAAATTATCAGCTTCACTTTGTTGTTTACAGTCTTACGGATAACCATCCGTATTTTATGCAGTACACATAGTGTATGAAATAGATCGAATCCATCACTTCACTAACCTTGTGTAATCTTAGTTTCTGTTGATCATCTGGTTTTGGTATATCACTCTCTGGCTTTTTCGTTCCATCTTCATTACAGTTCTTAAGAAAACCCAAAGTTGGTTGGAAATCAACAACATGGCCGGAGTTTATGATTAAGTGGCAATTGCCTGTAAAGTTCCTTGTATTCAAGGTTGTATATATGGCAATAACTTATTGCTTGAAGGGAAGTTAAGAAAAGCAGGAATGCAATGGTTTGAGTGTGAACCATAGAAGATATATTCAGTACAGACATAGAATTATGACAAATCTGTAGTTGGGAGACGAAAGATGAGATGGACAGATATGGTAAATAGAAACTTGAAGATACTGAAGTTACTGTTAGAGAAAAGGATACTGATAAATGAAGATTTAGTCAAGTTAGCATGAAGACATCTACATGCGCAAAAATCTCAAAGCTTGTCAACAAGATATGTTCGCACGGCTTGTTCCCAGTTGTTGACAAGTCTGGAACAAGTTGTTATCATCTTGTAACAAGGTTATAATGAGGCCAACAACTTGCAACAAGTTGTTCCATCAAGTCTGCATGATATTGTCTGCACATAACAAATTGTTAACAAGTTGATGACAACAAGCTCTTAGGAACTTGGTATGAACAACTTGTTGGAACAACTGGTAACAAGCAGTACAAACACATCCTGGTATCAGCTTGACAACAACCTTGTTGCAACTTGTTTGCAGATCTGTGACAACAGATATGTAACAGCGCATTTTTAAAGACAATGATCTTTGTTCAAAGAAACAAAGCAGGCCACTCCATCAGAGCTGAGAAGGCTTAGGCATACTGTATACTAGTACAATATTGTCTTATGTACTGTAAGCTGTAAACTCCAGAATATTATTACCTCAGATGATTGTTTTGCTGGGTCATACAAAAGTTTCTCGAGTGAATTCAAAACTGCTGTAGCCTTTTCTGTCTGAAATATGTGCAGAAAAAATATTTTGTAGAAGAAATAGCAACCTGATACTCAGGGTAGTCACTTCCGCTACCCCCGAAACCCCGAGTATCAGGTTGAAGAAATAGGCAAGGTCATAAGAAAGTTCTATTCCAACTTTATCAAATGGCATTTTACCTGGTAAGTTATCAAGCAAACTTCCACAAGAAGAAAACATACATTTTGGGCAAGATTTTTATCTGAAGAAACATAATGCAACATACAGGTACGAGTCAAAACTACTGTGGCAAGTAAAATAGACAATCATAGTCTAGTTTATAGTGGCCATATAATTCTTAGCTGTAATAAGTGTTTAAACAACCAGAGAGGGATAAAACTTCTATTGCAATTGCATTAACTTACCAAGAGATTCAACTATTTTAGAAAGTCTTTCTAAATTTGCCAATGCTTCAACATATTTTTTGACCTAAATTTAAAACAAATAAAACAGCTACAGCTAGGTTTCTCTTCTAATAATGTTTTCATTTAAACAGAAATGAGTGGATATCATCAAGCACTATTGTGCAAGCAGATGGTAGTCATCAGAGCGAGGCACCAATCTTTTCATTATGTCTTGCGTTTGGTAGCAAAGACACAGAATTGAGGGAACATAAACTAATTCCCTTGCTCTCATCAGATGACCACTGTCAGCTACTATGTAATGCTTGCTTATAAACTGAAAAATGTTGTGTGATACATCAATCAAAAATACATACATAAAAACAGTAAACAGCTTTATTATAAAGTAAAACGGCTTTCTCCACATCAGAAGTTTCAGCCTCTGTATCTGAACTTTTGTGATTCATCTAGTAAAAGAAAGATAATTAGCTAGTAAATGTATGATTAAGTTAAGTAACTGCTTTGTCCCCAGTTGCTTTATGTGAATTGGGGGGGTGCAATGAATTGATTGAAGGTGTGGGGAGAATTGCTTCACCTTCCCATCATGCACCACAGCCGATCTCTTTCCCAACCACTGATCTATATATGTCAGTGATATGTGCTACAAATAAGTTTAACCTACAGGTACCCTATGTTTTTCAGAATATGAAACCGGAATCACATTGGGGGTTAATGTATTCGTTTTGCCCAACATAAAAGTGTGTTGTCAAAAAATAATGTAAAGGGGCTGAAAAAAAAACCAGAAAAAAAGGTTTATCAGTGTCCCCACAAATAACATAGAAGATAGAAGTATCACGTGCCAATGGTGCAAGACCCTACATCGGCACCTCCAAATGATTGTAAAGGGCTTGATAATTAGATACCTTCTTTTTGACACTATTTAGAGTTTTCAAAAGGTCCTCAGTTTTTTCACATCCAGATTTATAAAATTCTGCTACAGCCTTGTTATGCGCAACTTTGGCATCCTTCGGTCGTAGGTCCTCAAGCTTTGACAAGGAACCGAGGCAAGTGTCGTAACGAGCCGATTCAAATTCTGTGAGAGCATTTCGAGCTAACTCTTGTTCTTGATCAGAAAAGTCAGGAGGGTTACTGCCTCTTCTTTCATCAGTAGACTCATGTTTTCCATCAGATGCCATGGTTCTAACCTAAGAAAATATGATTATACTAATTTAATTTAATCAGATTCATAACAAGTTGGTTTATTCACAATGTACACTTCCGGAAAGTACACCAACTTGGCTATAGAACCTATCCTGTTTGAAACATTGGACTTTAACTAATGTCACATGACAACAAGGCTCTATAAATATCAAGGGCAGATTTTCATTTTTTTAAAAGGAGGGATGGAAAAATGTCTAGTGGGGTGCAAGCAGCTGCGGCACCACTGAACGAGCTTCGGCAGGGGTTAGGGTTACTATACATGTTAAAACTTTCACACAAAATACAGTGGGAGGGGTGAAGTGAAATTTTGGTGGGGTTGAATACTTTATAAGAGGGGTTAGAGAGATTCTATGGGGGGGGGCAGTAAATCCACCCATGTTGCATATTAGTTTCTCATGCCCTGCCTGCATGGCTTTTTTAGGCAGCCGCCTCGATGGCCATTATTACAATTTTGACTATTAAAATACAAAAAAGAGCATTACAACTGTCACAAACCAAATTTTACACACTCCTTTTCAAAATACCATTTCTTTCCTACCGTAGACACTTTACATTTTAATATTAATTGAAGCTCAAATAGCAACACATTGCTTTACATTTTAATATCGTACAGGAAATTAATGAAAATTTTAATTAAACAGAAAATTGTACAAGCATGCACAAAGGTGGCACTCAATCTACATAGTGGCATAATGGTAATGGCCGCCCGCCTGCATCAACTTTGGGGACAGCCCTGGATGAGAAACTAATATGTAACAAATGGTGTCCTAACTGCTGATTGGCTGAGCACATTGCAAACATAAACATTGAACTGACATATTATTATACACATCATTACATGAGAATATCTGTTTCTCAGTGATATTGAGAGTAACCAAAATCTCTCTTGAAGCAAGAATACTTGCACAAGGATCTCCATATTATATAAGTGGATTCTTGATCGAATGATCGACATGCCATTTTATATATATATAATATATATATATTATTTTTAATATAGTGTAAATCAGGGGCGATTAAAAAACTGGCAATAAATATTGCAAAAATGTATTATAACAGGGAATACACCTAATAAATAATATAAAAACACCATACAACCAATTTAGGGCCATATAAAAACCTACCTTTTAATTTCAAGCGTTTTTCACGACCAAATTTACAATATAAATTTGACAATTTCTGGTTTCTAACCGCGCAGGACATGGCATGGACACTAGTAGACTTACCGGAAGTGATTATCTGTTAGCGGAAGTAAAACGGCCATTCCACGATTCCAGATTTCTCCGATTTTTTTTCTAGAATTTTTTTTTAGACGTAGAAACAGTGCCGTAGCTAGCATGTATAGTTAGTGTAGGCCAAAAATTTCCGAATGACGAAGAAAATTTCCGAATATTTCATGCCATACGAAGCTGGCATATGAATATGTAGGAAAATTTTTTTTCAATCGAAAATTTTGGGCGACCTCCCCCACCCCACCCCCAGTCGCCAAAAAAATTTCGGTCAGTGTACCATTTTAAGGGTCAAAAATTTTTTCCGGACATACCAAAGGTCAATTATTAGCTATAAATTGCCTGAATCTCATGATTTTCGTACAAAAAGCATATACTATTATTGCCGTAATTTTCCGAATGGCAAACCCGATTTTCCGAATATGTTAATTCTACAAAAGTTGGGGGGGTTAGCCACCCCCCCCCCAATACCCCCCTCGCTACGGCCCTGCGTAGAAATCTCACAACTTGTCAACAAGATGTGTTTGCAACAGGCTTGTAGGCGCAAGCTTGTCAACAAGTTATAACAACGCTGTTATTTTGTCAAGTTGCTACAAAGCTTGTCACTCACAACTTGTTGATAAATTGTTGAATTACACTCAATACAGGACGATAACAAGTTGCTGGAACAACTTGTAACAAGTCTGTTGAGCTCAACGACCTTGTAGCAAGTTGTCAACAAGCTGGGAACACGTTTTTACGTGTGCAACCTACTGTAAAATAATGCGTTTTATTGGTGGATTTCCTCCTAGTGGAAATCAGGCTTAAGTGTGAATAAGTGCTTCACGAGCATTTCAAGTATTCAATTCTACAAAATTCAGTAATTATCACACACTACTAAAGCAACTAGGTTGAGCTGTATATGACTAGAAAGTTTCTTTGTTTCACATGAATTTCAACACTGGAGATGCATACTCCCACAAGCCAATGTCTTGAGGCGATTATGAAGAAATCTCGTTGATTCTGGGTCCATGCTATGTCCAAAGCCATCTAGACGTAATATCTCACAGTCCTCAGCTTTATGTATAAACTCACTCATATCAGGCCTAACAGAAAATGAAACTATTGTGGTAACGTTTACCCCCAAATCTCGCATTGCCACCGCTACATATGCGTCGTCTGTGTGAAATGGTTTTCTTATATAGACATAGTTAAATAATCTATTGAGAAGGTCGCTGGACAGAATAAAGAACGCTCCAGCATTAAACTTCGGAAAATTCACTTCACCAAAATATTTCCAACTAACTGCCCATTTTACACCAATTTTGCGACTCACACCGGTCCCTCCTTTACTCCAACCTCCATAAAACGGTCTTGGAAACTTAGAATTAACAAGATATTCCAACACACGTGGTATGCGCACATAAACATCATCGTCTGTTTTCATTGTGTATTTTATATCAAATTTACTTGCCCACACTTGACCCATGTAGAACTTTACAACATTATTAATGTAGTTGTCTGTGATATTTCCTATCAACATATCATTGTGTTGTCTAGCTTCAGCCATGTTTAGTTCATCATCGTTCGTTCCCGGTCTTGCTTTTCCAACAACAAATACGAGAAGCCATCGTAAGTTCTTCATTCTTTCATCTCCCAATGCTTTACGTTGTTCGCAATTGCTTCGATTTCTCCAGGTTTGTCGGATAACCTCGCGACGTTTTCGAAACTCGTCGCCCTTGGCACCAGAATTGACCAAAACCATCATAAAAATCTCTGGTGTTGTTTCAACATTGGGCGAAATTTCCGGGAAAACGAACTTAAAATCTACAAAAGGGTAATAGTCGTTTACCATGTCAATCGACGGTTTCGTCGTTGGCTTTCTCGTTGTTGCTACCGGGTTTTCAGAAATCTTCGATGCATGAAAACTGTTTATATATTTCATCAATGTTCTATTAATTCCTTTTAGCATCATAGCCACGTTGGCCGCATTTAAGGTATCTTTACTTCCAATAGTAATACCCACTTCCGTAGAGCTGTTTCGTTTAGAATTACGAATATATTCACGTAACTGTATAACTTTAGCATCGAGTTGTCGTATTGTGAAAGAATCGCTCGTTGTAGGCAGTCTGATCGAGCTGGACATATGTGCAATGTCGTTTACAAACGACCATACCAAACAAACCAGGAACAAAAGCACCAGAACCATGAATTTTCGTTTATACCGTTTTAAAGGTGCCTGCATGTATAGGTTTCGTTTATACCGTTTTAAAGATGTCATCAGTGAGTTTGGCAACCAACAACGGCGACGGCAGAAAACAAAATTACTTATACTTTTGTATTTGAGCGAAAACATACAATTACTAAACTTTTAAAAACACTTATCCTTCCTTTAAACAACCCTGAAATTCCCTGAAGTAGCGATAGAAAGTGAATTCACATAAAACACCCCAAATGACTTGAACGTTTTACTCTTTGGCATGGTCATGTGCCGTGAAAATGGTGTAAATAACATAGCATTTTGAACACCTACAGCGTACTAGAATGCTAAAGAATGCAAATTATAGTCGTCTTTGTCTTAGAATTGAAAGATGCTGTTGTACGTTGATGAGCACGTTCTCGTTGCCATTCTATTTGCCAAACTTTTTATCATGCCGAGGTTTAGTACTGTAGTTGACCGAGAAGACAAAATAAAGTAGTTTGGATTCACATCATTATCACGTGACTGACATTAATTTTCAATTTGTAGCTACACACGCAAAACTCTCACATCTTGTAGCAAGTCTGCCAACAACTTGTCAACAAGTTGTGTTCGCATTGCCCCAAGATGGCAACAAGTTTGGAACAAGCTGTCAACAACTTGTAACAACCTTGTTGATATTATCAGACTTGTTGCAAGGTTGTTCCAACAAATCCGATGCAGTCACGATATAACAATATTGTTACAACCTTGTGTCATCAACCTTGTAACATGCTTGTTATACCATGACTGTATCAGACTTGTTAGAACAACTTTGTAATAAGTTTGATAGTGTCATCAGGCTTGTTACAAGTTGTTAACAGCTTGTTTCAAACTTGTTACAACAACTGGGAACAAGCAGTGCGAACACTACTTGTTGACAGCTTGTGAACAGCTTTGTAACAACTTGTTTGCAGACTTGTAACATTAACTTGTGCGTTTTTACGTGTGTACCTCTGAAAAGCTGTGAATAATCTTTATTTCTTTTTTTCTCTATTATTTAAACATACTTACTGTAAAGAGCCTCCTCCTCGCGCCTTCGCAGACGTCATAAAAATATGTTGACCGCCCATCAGGGCCTACTCAGCGCACGATAGTACATTACAACTAAGATCTTATGTTGCAGATAAAGTAGACTTTTTCCGGCCTAATTCACATTCATGTGCATATTAAATTCGTTGATATGCATAAAACATGCATAAATTGACACAGTCCAGCGATTTTATTTGCTGCATGAAAGAATGCAACGAGTGTTTTCACTCGACAAAATTGAATGCATTAGAAACGTACATGGAACCGGCCATTTTAACCTGGAAAGAACATGCATATGTACTTTCTGTCATGGCAGTGACTTCTCCTGATAATATGCAACGACCAATGTCTTGCTTATAACACCAAATAGTTGTGAATTGACTGACAAATTTGAACTAAACCTGTATCAGTTGCTGAAGCCGAGACTCCCTGCTATTATGGATACACACGTGTGTTTGGTGTTAATCAGTATACTGATTTTATTGATGGCACAAAATGTCAATGGACAAGGTTAGGTGCTCAATGGTTTGAAATACAACGAATACCAAACGGTGAAGATGTAGGACTGATATATCTACGTGTTCTGTAATTAACTACGATATTATTTATATGACACGTGCCATCAACTCGTGTAAATATATCTAAAAACTAAATGTAAAGATTAAAATTTTGTTTATAGGTCACCATTTCGGAGGTCATAGAAATTCTACTCAAATTTCAAAAGGTAAGATCACTTAGTATGCGATGCGAAAAACAGCGGTATATTGGGAGGGGATTTGATCATTTATTGGAGAGGTTCAACGTTCAAAAGTTTGACTACACCACGGTACACACGCGTAAAAATCTCACTTCTTGAAGCAAGTCTGCTGTCAACAAATTGTGTTCGCACTGCTTGTCCCAAGTTGTCAACAAGTTTGGAACAAGCTGTTATAAACAACTTGTAACAACCTTGTTGATATTATCAGACTTGTTGCAAGGTTGTTCCAACAAGTCCAATACAGTCATGATTAAAACAATATTGTTACAACCTTGTGTCGTCAGCCTTGTAACATTCTTGTTATATCATGACTGTATCAGGCTTGTTAGAACAACTTTGTGACAAGTATGATAATGCGATCAAGATTGTTAGAAGTTGTTAACAGCTTGTTCCAAACTTGTTACAACAACTGGGAACAAGCACGCAGTGCGAACACAACTTGTCGACAGCTTGTGAACAGATTTGTAGCAACTTGTTTGCAGACTTGTAACAACTTGTGCGTTTCAACGTGTGTAGCCCCAGGCTCCCTGAGCTGGGCCTGAAAAAATCATATGTTGGTTCTTTCATTAATCATTATATTCCAGAGGTTTTTGGCTGCCAGGCGAGTTTGGTGACAAATAAAGTTGAGAGACGTGGATTAATTTAATTTTCTGGCTCATGCATAAAATCTAAAATATTTTGACCAATAATAGATAGCTTAAGATCTACGACGTCGACGTCAGCTAGGACGTCAGGGCTATGCAGAGGACTGGGATAGGATGTCGTCCTAATGTAGTCCCAGTCCTCTGCTTAGCCCTGACGTCCTAGCTGACGTCGACGTCGTAGATCTTAAGCTATCTAATGAAGATATAGCACAACATACTTAACTTGACATGGATTTTTGAAATTCTTTCTAGCCCAGTACCATCGTATGTGGCGAAATATGTGGACCACAAGTATCTTTGCAATTCTTTTCGCTTCATTTACTTCACTGTTGTTGTTGAAACTTTGTCAAGAAATTCGCCGAACGAAGAGAATAATTAACAGATCTAGCATACAGTAAATAACACTGTGACTTAGATTTATCGTCGGTGAAATCTATGTCTATTATTGATTACAAAAAAATAGTATTAATATACGGATCATTAACAGAAGACGAAGGACCAAGTCTGGTCTATACAGTAAATAAAGATTTAAGGATTATGCATCCTGGCTTTTAGTCACGAAAATCCATCTGATCATTACAGTAGACACTTCCGGAATGTGTTTGTAATCATGGGATAATGGTACGAGGTCGAGGCTGACAATGACTTGACGTCGCAACTTTTAAAGGTCTGTTTACAGTTTTTTTGCTGTGATTTTAGGTGCGATTTTCTTCTTCTGATGGAACGAGTGTTATGAATGTTCAGATGAGACTGCGTTTTCATAACTCGTCTCCTCGTTCACATGAATCAGAAGACGAAATGAATCGCACTAGAAATGGCAGCAAAAATTTCAAGTGTCAACGGGCCTTTAGCAAAAAAAATAGATAGTGCCGTCCTGTCATAATCCAGTGATGGAAATGTTCCATTCTCTTTTCATTGTATTGAAAATCTCCATGCCATTCAGTTTAAACTCATTGCTTTGCCATATTTGCAAGGGTGGGTAGTAGCGAAGTAGTTGTAGTTCGCTACTGTAGCGAACTACAATTTTCAAGTAGCCAGTAGTTTTTAACTACTTTTTTAAAACAGTAGTTGTAGTTATAGCGAACTACAATTTGCCTAAAAGTAGCCAAGTAGTTGACTACTTTTCAAACAACGAATCGCTATTCGCTACTTTTTAAAATTGTTAGCAACCGTTCATAGAATAGAATGATATTAAGACACGGTTTGCTTAATTTAAAAGATTATTTTACACAGTAAAGATAATTTTAGCGCAATGAAAAGTGGCACTCCTGAACACTGCAGTGCTTACAAAAATGTTGCTTTGACCCTTCTTGTTTACTGTTGCTACTCGTAAGTCGATTTGTTATAGGTTGTATTACAGCCTGAGCTAGTGGATGCTCCAAATACCATAAAACTAAAAAATATAGCCTTTGTTAAATAGTAGCAGTAGTTGTAGCTGACTACATATTTTTGAAGTAGCTGTAGTTATAGCGAACTACAAAAATTTTGTAGTCAACCCACCCTTGCATATTTGTGATTTTATGCAAAGGCATATTGGATCACGTTGTCAGCCTCGGCTTCAAGATACTGTATCAGAAGTGTAGTTAGTGAAGGCCCGTTTACACTTGCAATTTTTGGTGTTTATCTTCTGATGGATGTGAACGAGTGAATGCGTTATGAATGCTCAGAAGAGGGTGTATGTGCTCAGAACAGTTATAACTCATCTGCTGATTCACATCCATCACAAGAAGTAATCGCAGCAAAAATTGCGAGTGTTTAGGAGAGACATTCATTTATCAAAGGAATTTTTCAGTTAGTGTTGAGTTGACCTTGTACTTGATTGCCACTTATATGAAATGCAGTTGTGTAAATGTGAAAAAAATTTTCAAAATATAATTGTGTGTTGATCTATCTGTTCAAACATGAATTTAAATATCATCTACAATTTTATAATTCATAAATCATAACTGTCTTTGCCATGTATTTCTCGAACATTTCGCTTCCTTTCAGTCTGGTATTGAACAAGCACATTAATTACGCCAATTATAGTTTTAGATAGAAATTTATGAGTTCGTAAACATCTTTGACTTCGACTTGTTACAATACACTGTACCGTTTCTTGTACTCTTGTGCCAATGGCCTCGTTTTTATGTGCTTATTACCTCATGTTTCCTGCACAGTAGGATTAATAATAGGTTTGTGATTGGTTTCAAGATAAAAAAACATATCCGTGCAGAAACATGGGGATATATCCTTCATGCGCGCCTGCCATGCTAAAACAGGAAAACATGGAAACGAGGCCATTCCCTTGCGAGAATGAAATGGGGGAAGAGACTGGGAACGAAGTTTGAGTCAAAACAAAAGACTAAAAGAACTCGAACTCGGCTCAACCAAATGATTCTAAACTTTTCTTGTCATTACAGAATAGATTGAAATCTTTATCGAGTCAAGAGACTAATTCTCATTTCAAATAGTTTAATGGATAAAGTAAACATTTTTATGCATTTATATCTTTTTGAATTATGTTTTTATAGAACAATTAAAATTCCCTACAGACCTAACAATTCCTATATGCTAGTGCCTAATTTCAAAATGTCCCAGAAATTTAAGAAACCCTAAGGCTAGGTACATCTGTAAAAACGAGCGTTTTCTGGTATAAATTGACATACCAGCATACTGTAATTAGTCTGTGCCATTGAAAAACCCACGCTACTCGTCATGTATTGAAATATCTATAATTACAATTCCCACAGGAAATTATTAAACATTATACCTTTAATATAAAAACTTTAAGAAATACATAAAAAACAAATAGTAACTTGTACAAAATAATATATTGCCAATAAAATGTGATTTAAAGAAATCAAAACTCAGTCAACAATATTAAAATCTAACATATTAATAAATCAGATAAGTATTAGAAATTGATTGCTATATAAATTAAGATTATATGAAATCTTGTTTATTTCATTCCTGGAGGTTTGCGAGTACGTTTTGAAGTTTCTCTCTACACAAAGTTCCTGAAATAATCACATCAAAAGGTAGGAAATTGTCTGAAAGTTTCTACAAAGCAAGCGTATGGAGTGCCTTGTTGGTTTCTTTGTTTTACATACCTAGAGATATTGTTATCAAAGAGCTAGGTTTCCGAGTAGCGTAACATTTGGTGTTAGTAATATTTATCGTACCTGTAAACTATACTGTGAACGAAAAGAAATATAAACATACAGTATATAACATATAATAAAACAAGTTGGTTCATCATCATCATCATATAGGGGGGTCGTCTCGACACTTTACTCCACTCTACTGTGTCGTTGACTTTGTCTAAATCCAGGGACGCCGGAACTGGGGGGCAGGAGGGGCAGCCGCCCCCGTTGCCCTTTACCAGGAGGGGCAAGGGGGGCAAAGGTGCCCTTTCAATTTAAAGGATTCCCTTTGCGAAATAGCGAATTGTCAGAAATGTTAGTGCAATTCTTTTACGAATTTGCTTCAGAAAACGCAAGAAATGCAGTCATCGAGCTTCAAAAATAGCACAATCGCCTGGCGGAGAACCCCCTCACATCCCTATCATCCAATAAATAGAAAACATGATTAGGCGAAGTTCAACTCCCGATGTTTTGCAAACATCTCTTAGTATATATCAATTCAAAAGTGCCCTTTCACGAATATCTGCTCCCCCCCCCTTGCCTTCACATCGTTCCGGCGTCCCTGTCTAAATCCACCACTCTCCCATCATCCTACCCCTATTTCTTGTTCCCGGTTCCTTACGCTCCATTGCGGCCCATCTAACAAGTTCTCTCACTTCCATTCTCTTCACGTGTCCGTATCATCTCAGTCTACTTTCTCGAATCTTCTCTCTCAGCTCTATCACCTTCAATTCCTGTCTTACGTTTCTCATTCTATCTCGTCTTGTTACACCTCTAATGGCTCTCATAGTACTGTAATGTAATTACCATCACTCGTCTGAGCTGTTGGAATCCCCGTATATGAAGAAAGTTAGTTATTAATGAATGAATTTAATCACTACAGGATGTACAAGATGCTTGTTCCATAATTTTGTATACAAAGGGCTTTGTTCGAATTTGATAGGAAATGCGCAAAAGATTACTTGGTCCACATTTATTCGTTTTCGTAGAGTCTAACTACGTGGAACAAGGCGAAAACGCTACGAAAACGGATTAGTGTGGACATAGCCTCACTGCTTCGAATATATAAAGCCAATTTCCATGGATTTCACGGTCCGGTATCGTATCGTATCGAACTGTAGCGCAGGGCTGCATAAAATATTTTATTTTCTGGGACCACAAAGCCAACAAAAATATTTTCTGCACGCAAACACTGTGAATCTTTGTTTAAATTTGATCATCACTAAACAAGGTTCAGTGTATTCTATGCACCATTTCATTAGATTTGAAACCAAAATAGACGTATTTTACCCAGCTAGCAGTGGTTTCTAGCTGAGCTGCTAGGAGAAACCACTGCGAGCAAACGAATGATCGTTTCATTGTAGCCGCCGTCCAGATTCATGGACGAATACATTAAATGAGAAACCAGTAAAACAAGTTTGACAAGCTTTCGTTATTGTGCGCATGGGTAACTGCTTGGCACTGCTAGTAAAATGCGAGCCAGTTGTACTAAAACAACATGATCACGCTCTAAATATAGTAACAAGCCATATATGCACTACCTTTTACAAAATATTATAACTTTACAAAATATTGAATAAAATGTTTGAAATTATACATTAAAATGACTTGAAAACCGCCTATACAGTTCGACAGAGTAACTATAAATTCACACACTGCAACAAAAAATCAACACCTTTTACAGAAATAGTAGTGCCGTCGTGACGATCTTTCATCAGTTGAAATTTGTAGCGGTTGAGGTCGCGACGATCAAAAATTGCAATATTGTCAAAATCAACAATAATTGGAAACCTTATTATATTATTATATTATTTGGAAACTTTGGAAATTGGAATTTATCGAAAACCTTAACACAAATAAAGTTTGCAGACCGAATTTAAAAAATTGATATTGATCAGATAAATACAAAAATTGAAAAAGATATAACAGAAACTCAAATGCACAATTTGTAGCGGTGAGGCACCGATTTCAAAATCTTTTAGAAGTAAATTGTGAACTGCATGTAGAATAAAAAGTCAGACAGACAACAAAGAAAACAGTACTATGCCACGCTTTTTTACGTACAGATAACAAACTGTCAAACTACAGCAAATGAAGTCAAATTAGTATTGTCCCACCCTGTGATCTTTGTGCATGCTCGATAGAAAGTCGTTTGTTTGCTCGCAGTGGTTTCTCCTCAGCTCCGAAACCACTGCCAGCAGGGTAGACGTATTTCAACATGGCTACAGAATAAATATTCTTTATATTTTAATTTAACAACAAACATTTACATTTTAATGAATGATGAAAGTGACCAATGGGAACTGTCTGCAGTTTAAGATTCTAGATTCTTATAATTTTAATATATTTGTTATGAATATCATCTTAATTTAATGGATGAAAGTTCATGAGAAGGGCGGAAGGCTGTTGTGTATTGGACCATATTGCTTAGATTTTTTACTACATTGTAAGAAATCACCACACTCATAGACTTTTTAATCCACATACTGTAGTTGTTAAATGAGTTGTATTCATATATAACTGGAGTGGTATTTTCAGAAGTAGCTAATACACTAGATGAAATCAATTATAACCGCATAGAGGATTTCATCTTAATATCTGCTAGACTGCTGTCTGCCTGTCTTTGACCATAGTATCAGGCTGCTGGAGAGCCTCCTGTACCGGTATATTGGAAACTTGTATTACTTGCATGTTGCAAACATCACTAGTTCACTACCTACAGCTTATTATTCAATTATGTCATTTTTTCTTATTTTCTTCCTTTCTTTCTTTCTCTTTACTTTTTTTCCTTTGAGACTTTTAAGTTTTACCCTCCATTTTTTTCTGCAAACCTCAAAAATTTTCTGGGACCAATGGTCCCGCGGTCCGCTATATTATGCAGGCCTGCTGTAGCGTATTTCTTTGTTGGCTGAGCAGTACAGTCCATGGGCTAATGACTCCAACACAAATATACTTTTTGTCTTAGGCTACGTTTACACTATATACATGTATACCGGATGGCTTTCCGTAGCCGCATGAAAAAGCACCTATCCGATACGGAATGTATAACTTTCAGAAGATGAGCGAAAATGCAATAATTCCTCTGAAAAAAGCCGGCGTTCCTAAAAGGTACGGATAGTTGTTTTTCACGTCGCACTCGCTACAAAGCTATCCGATACAAGTGTCATCGCATCAAAGAGTGCTTTATGTTGACTCTACCTAAGTTTCCTCGGGGTACACGCGCTGGATTTTATTTCACTCATAAAAATCTGTTGACTCTCCTGTATTGGGCATTGTAGATGTTTGCCAAAGGTATGTGGAGTTGTGTCACTCTGTTGCTGGTATTTTTTGCATGCGTTGATATCAACGTAGCGAAGACGGTCCGCCAGAGACGTGGTTCGTGTGTTTACAACCAATATACCAACGGATGCAGCACACCAACTGGGTATGAACCCTACCGAGAAGAATTCACCCCGGCATGCAATGAACATGATGTCTGCTACTTTTGTGTAAGTAATTCTTAAGATCAGAGAACAGTAAACGTCATTATCTTGGGTAAACTTGGCATTCCGTTTATAGCACAGGGACCGGTTGTTCAAAGCTGGGTTAGCTTAACCCTAGGTTAACCTAAAATTCAAAGCAAACTTCCTGACAGCTTGTCCATAAATTTGGAAATATTTCTTCAGAGATCTTGTCTGGATCGACAGGAGTTCACTTCTCTGAAGTTTTGAAATAAACAGACGTGCAGAAATACACTAACCAAAACAGCAGGTTAAATTTTAACCCAGGGTTAGCGCTGACCCACCTTTGAACAACCGGCCCCAGAGTTGTAGACTCGAGTCACGTAACTTGGACGTACTCGAGTCGCAATTTTTGACTTGACTTGACTGACTTGTCATAATCAGATTAACGACTTGTGACTTAACTTGGCCTCGAGCAAAACGACTTGTGATGTGGACTTGGACATAGTCTATCGGCAAGATATGAGGATCTGGAAACTAAACAGAAGTCATTGTGTTATGTTTTTGCTTGAATTTGTGTTAATTTGTGCAGGGTCACGGTGACTGAGTCTCATTGCATTTTCGTATAATAAAGCAATCGTCCAATAAGGATAGCTGAGATGAAACGTGCAACCACGATAATATTTAATGAAGTTGAGACAAATGACTTGTGCATGGTGAGGTACAGTTCAACATCACACAAAGGTCTTCTATTTTGTAGCTTTGAAGCTTACCGGGTTTCCAGATCATCATATCTTGACAGACTATGACTTGGACTAGCAAGAAATGACTTGATATCAACGCAAGTCTTAAATATCTAATGAAAATTAACTTTTCTACAATGGACCATTTGCATTATAGACTAAATTTTGATCTAGACAAAAATTTCATCACAGCTTGAAAGAGCGTCACAAAATTAGTAATATTCCAAAGTTTCGTTGCGAAATGTTGTAAAATGCGGATAATATAG